TACATCTCCCACTATCTCCTTCAAATATATTCTTTACTTTGGATTTACGTCTTATTACAGTGACGCGCTAGTAATTAGTATTTAGTGGTGATCATAGTCAATCTCGACTCGATCACCACTAAAATTGTCAAGTGGGATCTGTAATCATCACTCAAAACGGACTACAATACAACACGAATTAATAATATTTACTTAGTTTTGAAACTGAATCCACAATAATCACCGTTAGTATATACAGATTAAGCATGTATATAGCTGAAAGTAAGAAGTTTTACATAAACCATACAGGATGAGAAAGTTATAAGACAGCGTAAGGAGACAGATAATGGGCAATATAACACTCGGTTTACATCAAAGAATGATCTACGCATTGTATGATTTGAAAAATAAATATATTAGGCGATAACAGTAAGACAGTGATAGAATCCCGACCGTACTGATACCTAGACGTGGTGGTCGGGCTTGACTATCCTGATGACCCAACTGAGCTATACTTGCTGTAACATGTGTTCCTGAAGGTTCTACCATGCTAGGCAGGTCGATTCAAGGACGATGAGACTAAAAGCAGCTACCCAAGGTCTGAGGGCGAAGTCGTACTACTGACTAATGCAGAGGGGTGTGACAGCAGTGAGGCGTTTCGCTCGGACAACAAGCATCTACAGTGATGCTGCCTTCTCACAAGGAAGGAAGGGTTAGAAAAGGTCGACTCTAAGCATGTCACACCTCACCCTACCTCACAGATTTCCGTCTCCTTGGGTAAGAGTGCTCACTAAGGGCCGATAAGAACGGAGCTAATCCTCAAAATACCTTTCATAAAAAGGCCCTTGCGTGGACGGCCTCAAGCAGTTGTCCCATGGACTCTGCGGTCACGCACCTAGGTCTCTAAGACCAACACTAATCTATCTTCCTTTTCAGGTCCCTCAAGACACAACCTTCCACGGTGTGGGCAGCCGGGAAGTGACAACCGCCCTCATACCCGTAACAGCACGCGAGACCAAATTGGCCAAAATCAAATCCTTCCTACACCCACACGTACCTCTCCTCTTTCCACAACTAACTCTACTCACATTCCCTTATCTGACTGCACCGCTAATGCAAACGATGCGAGTTCACGAAACGTCATTCCTGGTCTCTTGAAACGGCGTTCTAGACTATATGTTGGAGCACTTAATGTACGGACATTGTGTCAAATAGGGCAACAGACATCACTAGCTAGGACTTTAGAATCTCGTGCCATCGATGTATGCTGATTCTCGGAAACGTGCTTACAAGATCCTAGTAAAATCATCAATTTGATTTCACATTGTATAAATAAAGAAGCAGCTCGATTTAATCTTCGTGTATCTGGAAGCCCTGATGCAGCTTCCAGGGGTCTTGCTGGCGTAGGCATAGCATTGAGTCGTAGAGCTGAACAATCTCTCCTTGACTGGATCTCAGTAGATACTCGCTTGTGCGCTCTCCGACTAAACGGGACAGTAAGGACTCAGAAAGATAGGGACAATCGCCGTTGCCTCTTCGTCGTATCTGCCTATGCCCCCACTGAATGCAGTTCAGACGAGGTTAAAGATGAGTTTACAGAAAGCTTTCGGACCTCCTCCAAAAAGCTAGGCTCTCTGATATAGTAATAATGGCTGGTGACTTCAATGCTCAGGTTGGAAGACTAAGTGAAAATGAAGGACACCTAGGTGGATGTTATTGTGTCGCGGTTCAGAGAACAGACAATGGTGACCGTCTGTTGCAAGTATGCTCAGACAACCGCCTATTCTTAGCAAACACTAACTTTAGGCATAAGAAAAAGCATCTGTTGACCTGGCGACCTCCAAAGTCGTCTCAACGTTGGACCCAACTAGATCACATCGCCATCAGCCACCGATGGAGGGGTTCGATAGAAGACTGTCGCTCGTTCTGGGGCACATGTTTAGATTCAGATTATGCCCTAGTGCGAGCTCGTATTTGTTTGAAGCTTACTGGACGTAGGAAAGACACCGTAAGGAAGCCTCTTAGGGTTTTACTTAATGATAATAGGGCGAAGAATATATTTCAGGAACAACTAGAAAGACAGTTAGGCGGCCACTTAAGCGACTGCCACCCGGAGGCAGGTTGGAATGATATCAAAAAGGCTGTGGAAACAGCAGTGATATCTGCTAGTAAGGTAAACCATAAGGCTAGAATGAAGCCGTGGATTTCAGTAGCATCCACCGATCTGATGGATGCCCGAAAACTCATCCCACCTGGCTCTGAACATGATGAAGAACGAAGTCAACTTAAGCGCAGGTTGATAAAAAGCCTGCGCAACGACCGTGAACAGTGAGGAGTGGTGAAAGCAAAAGCGATGGAAAAGGCAGCGGCGATAGGCAACAGTAGACAACTTTTCCGACTTATTAAGGAAACTGGTATTAGAAATCCTAGTGTAAGTGAGACTATCTCAGAAAATGACGGGACTATTATTTATTCTCAATCCAGGAGACTGGATCGATGGGCAGAACACTTTAGGGATCAGTTCAACTGGCCTCGAGCCACTCTTCGGTTACCTACGATCTCCAGTCCTCCTGAATCGCGAATCGACGTAAGTGCCTCTAGGCTTTAAGAAGTTGAGAAAGCGTTGGGAAATCTGAAGCGAGGACGAGCTGCAGGTCCTGATAGACTGACCCCTGAGATATTTAAGGATGGACGTCCAGTTTTGGCAGCTAGATTGACTGAGATCTAAGGCAGAATCTGCGACCTGGACGTAATCCCATCCGACTGGTCTCAGTCACTGGTTGTCCCAATTGTGACTTATCCACTTAGAATATGCCGATGACATTATCCTACTTGGCGAAGACACTGACAAAATTCAGAGTCTTCTGACCACCTGAAGCAACAATGCAAGCATGTTCGGGATGCAGTTCTTACCCTCGAAATTCAAAATAATGCTTCAAGATAGGGTTGCATCGGCACCTGAACTAGTGATAGGGAGTGAAGTAGTCGAACGTGTAGACCGCTTCACTTATCTTGGGAGTCTCATCAGTGCTGATGGATTGGTGACTGACGAAATCTCAGCTCGGATACAGAAGGCTCGATTGGCTTTCGCCAACCTGCATCGACTAAGGAGCAGTCGAGATATCCGCTTGCTAACCAAAGGACGTGTGTACTGTGCAGCAGTTCGCTCCATCCTACAGTAAGGATGCGAGACTAAGCCGTTAAGAGTAGAGGACTTCCGTAGGTTACTAGTCTTCGATCATCGATGTCTCCGAAGCATTGCTCGTGTATCATGCGACAACCGTATAAGCAATGCTGCGTTAGGAAACGAGTTCTGGGTAGGAACGGCAAACCAATAGATGAAGTAGTGAAACTTCATCAGTTGAGGTGGTTGGGACATGTGTTACGTATGGCTAACCACCGACTGCCACGATGAGCTATGTTTTGCAGTGTAGGAGTAGATTGGAAGAGAGGTAGGGGCGGCCAGACCAAAACATGGCAGAAATCCATGAAGTCACTGACAAGTGAACTGAATCATGTTGGTACATGTCGACTACCTGGTTGGGGTACGCGAGACGAAAGTCACCGATGTTTAGAGACCCTGAATGACATGGCTCAGAATCGTTTGCAATGGCGCAGGTGCATCCACTCTTTGTGTTCTATGAAATTCTAAGCTTCTGCATTCCTCATAATCCCCATCTTTCTCCTTCTAAATTTATCTTACTGAATTATACTTATGGAATCATATGTTCGCTCCCTAATCTTCTCTAATACTGCTGATACTTCTATTATTGCTATCGCTGTTGGATTTGAACTGACAGTTGCGTCTCTGTGCTGATGGGTCATGGCAACCTGAACTGATGCACTTACGTACAAAGTTCTTCGTTGTATCTGTCTGTCTGTCTGTCAGCGATAGAAGAGACAGTTTAAAATACGAACAGCTGGACAATTAAGGATAACTGTTGTTCCATCTTGACAACTGCTTTGTATTTGGAATCATATGTCTGAACGTTACATTGAATTGTATGTAAGAAAATAAATTACATGCCTCATCAAATAGGATACTGATAAATCAATTGTTTGGGGTCGAATTCATGAAACCTTTCCCGAATACCGATTTAAAAAACCCTGATTCCGTAATTAAGATAAACAAGGAACATTTTAAGAGGTTTTCTATACATGTTCTTGACGGCATATGTTGTATTGTGTCCGAGTATAGGAACTAATCTTCTTGATGGATTATGTGCGTAGTCTGATGACGCTTATTTGTGTCAACTGAAGCATTGCAGTAACTGGAAGCTTGAAAAGCAGCGTCTGACGCCTTTCTATCAATGTAAATGAACAGTCGTTAGGGTTGCTCGTCAATCTATTTACTGATATTACGTTATTTTTGGAGTCTAATGCGATCGTCAGTGGAGAGGATATAACGGCAGCTTCCCACAGGATAATTACTCAAAAACATCCAATGTTCGAACTTCAATAGAAATAGAATAAACTCAAAATAATGTTCACACTTTTTCCGAGATTTTCAGACTACAATATACTGCTGGATCATATTAAATCTGCAAACTCAAACAAATCAGCACGCAATCAACCAACTTCCAGCGTTTCAGATTTGGAGTATTCACAACAAATAATGAAGTTTTTTGAATACTTTCAAGTACTACATCAATAATACTCATTGCCATTACTTTACTTTGTTCAGGTTCCTTTAGTGTTTTTTTAAAATAAATTCGGACTTACACATGAATGAATTTCAGCTTAACTGTCTACTATAATTTTATTAAAAAACGGTTTAACCTACACCAATAGAAGTAAAGAATTTTACTTTCTGTTACGCATGCACGTAAACACGTCATTTCATGTGCTTGAACTATTACGAGTTTACCTAGTCGGAATACGAGAGAGAGGATCGAGGATCCGGCGACACTAGGCTACTCCAATCCGATTGTCCCAAACCCCCATTGAGTAAAAGAACAAGACTTGATACCAAGTAGAACCTGTATTCTACCAGCATCCAGAAAGTACGAGATCCAAGTCTGGAAGAGAATCAGGATCCCGGACTAGGGATCCGGGTCCTGGTCATAAAACATACCAGATAATGCGTATTTATACAGTTAAGTCGAATAGGAAACAACATTGAAGTCTGTGACATTGACAGTTTGGCCGATCATAATATTGACCAGTAGGAATTGACCAATAGAATTAGACTTACAAAAATAATTCTCTTAGGATATTTGATGAACATCCTAACACACAGTTTAAAAAACTGAAAACAATATTCATTTAATACTTATTCTTTGTGAAACAAGATATAAAATACACAATGTTTTAACCGTATATAGTAGAGATAGAAACTGCCCAGATATTTATCAACAATTGTGTATTGAAACAAAAAAAACAAACATAAAATCTTCAACATTTACAGAATAAATAGGCTAAATTGACATTAGAAATAGTTGAAGCGTAATTAGAAATAAAATTAATTTATGTATCATTTTTAAAAGGAACTTTATAAATTAACATTGTTATAAAATGAAAGAAATTGTTATTTAACAAGAAAGTTGATTTTTGTTTTATTTTAGGTTGTAAAAAAATAGAAACTTAGCTAAAACAAGAAACACACACAGATACAGTATGATTTTCCAATCATGTTTTAATATTTATTTTATCTTTGTAACTACTATTCATTCAAATAATCCATTTTTTGAATAGGCCTCAAATGATATACAATAAATTCAAGTAAATACATGTAGAATGGTTGAATATAATGAAAACTAATCAAATGATCACTGAGTAAATCCTTTAAATTAATAGAAAATAAGTTGTAAAAATTATGCTAACAATGTACACAAACAATAGTTATCAATAATATTTAAAAATAGCTTAATATAATATAATTATTTATGTCAAAACAACTAACTAGATCATTGATAAGAAAATATATGAGAAACATGTACCAATGATTTGTACGCAATTAACAAAAAGTAGTAATGTTCTACATTTCAACATAAGACAGTATGGATTGACAAAATCATGAATCATTTTAAAGTTGCATAATTTGAGTTAAAACAGAAATATAACTTATCAATTCACTAATGTTTACAAAAACATAAGGCTTTTGTTTTATTTCACATTTATACTTCATACTCTTTGCTTCATTCTCTTGTTTACTTACTTACTTCTTTGAGAACAAAACATCTGAACAAACTATTAGTTATTTATTTCTGAAATATCTTAATATTACATCGCAACAACCTACTGTGAGAGAGAACAAACCAGATTCCAGTGAAGGAGGAAATCAGGAAGAAGAAAGAGATGGAAATGGATAGGACACACACTGTGAAAAGCGCCTAACTGCATCACAAGACAAGCCCTCACATGGAACCCTCAAGGTAAAAGGCAAAGAGGAAGGCCAATAAACGCATTACGCCGAGATATAGTGAAAGACGTGAGAAAAATGAGCGAAAATCGGACAGAACTTAAAAGGGAAGCCCAGGACAGCGTCCTATGCTCCACTAGGGGTAACAGGCTAAAGTAAGTAAAGTAAGCTTTTGAATATATAAGTAAAGAATTCTATATGTTCTGTAGTTATTGTATTCATCTTAAACATTTTAAAACTATAAAATATCTTCTGATATTCACCATTCGAAGCAAGGCATTGAATAAATAACACATTGTAGTCTTATACAGAAGCGTTCATTACTTTATATACCGTTGTTTTCAACTCGTATGGTGAATATATTGATCAGCGTTTTTGAAACGAATTGAGCGAACATGTTAATAAACTGTAAAGAACATCGTTGAATTTTAATAATTCAAAATATGAATTATTTGATTGTGGAAAACATAGGACTTTGTTTAGTGTACAAAATCTTTTATTATGTTAGGTAAGTGCTTTGCATTACGGGGTTGTGAAGATTGTTAAGTTACACATTTTTTGAAACCATGAATCGATAAATGTTAGACCACCATTAGAAATCTGGAAGCACTGGACGGCCGTTTCGTCCTGGTGTGGGACTCATCAGCAGTGCGCATCCACGACTCCTGCACCCCGTAGGATTCGAACCCAGGACCTTCGGAATTGTAGGTGCTTTGTAAATTAAATAACCCTCACTGAAATTTTCGCGATTCAATAAAATCAATCTGTACTTTCTACTGTTACAAAGTTTCAATATAGTAGTAGAATGTTGTATAGTTTGAGGTCAAAACAAAAACATTTTGCCAATTATTAATTTACTAAAAAAAGAAATAGTGCTTACAAGATAATCTGATAGAATAAAATACTTTGAAACAAAAAGTCTTCTAACTTAAAATACTAAAGAGATTACTTGTTTTAAATGAGGACAGTAATAATCCTAATCAGCTAGTCGATTGTCTTCCATATACCGCTAACTAGAGTGACTTTGAGATGAATAGACAATAACTTTGTAGATATTTAAAGTTGAGAAAGTCATAAAACAATGAGGTGGTGGGAATCTGTGCTGTACGGCACTGGAAAAGTCTAACCGGATTGAGATATTGTCACCAAAAAACATTCACAGATGAATGGAAAATGCATGCTCAAATTCTTACACTCGGATCATGAAGATGATCAGCTGTTTTAGATGTAATTACTGGAGAGTTTGAACTTTCAGCACGTTTCTTTGGTTGGACGAGGTTAATAAATTCACCTTCGAGACTGCGCCATTGGAAAAGATAATAGTTTCTTCGTTCTCTTCGCCAGGTGAATGGAAAAGTTCCATTCAAGTCAGCCATATGATAAAGTTTTACACCAACTGGTTGACCACACATACCTGACAATTAAAACAAACTATATGTCACAGAACACAATGTTATATTTATAAAATTTTAGGGGGCTACTACTACTACTACAAATGATGATTTACACTAGTCAGCTGAACAGCTCTCGTCTTTCTTCGATTTATTACAGAGATATAGGCATGGGATGTTGGCAAAATACTACTGGGCAGGAATTCTAAGCAGTGGACATACATACATACCACTGTTTAGGACCAGTTTCAAAATCTTCAGGACACAATGCTTCAAACAATTACTGACACTTGTGTAAAAATCTAATGGTCCAAGCTCCTATCTTCAGATAATTAGAGATTCATAGAATCAAAAGTGTGTGTAGCTACTTCTATCTTGAAACGATGAATTATGTAGATCTCAGTTCATTACTGGAACTTAAAAATATGAATCTAAAAGCTAATCAGTAGTAATCACGTGATTGGTATACACTTAGGTATTTAGTAATTAGTTTCATTTCAAGGTGATTCTCAACACGGATTTGTACAAATTATACAATTAGTGAAAACGAGGTAGAATTAGGAGCGTAGGTCTTTCTACTTTAAGGACCCTAAAAATGTTTACTCTGTTCTTTTGAATCTCTCTATGAAAATGATATGAGAACAGTGCATTTTGTTGATGTGAATGGTTAAGGAAAGTAAGATATCTGTTTGCGCTTATCATAATGATTTCAAAAATATTAGGGACCAAATTTCAAAAATTAATAAATATATATATCAAAAGTACTACCATATAATCAACACAATCAAACAGATTCGAAAACATAATGTCAAGAAATAATTTCAACTGAGTAAATTCAATGATAATAGAGTAGTGTGCCGATTTACTGCGTGTTCTAGAGCTCGGTAATTAGTTCGTCTAGACAATCGTTACTAACTAGCGTCTGACGGTTTATAAATCAGAAGGTGAACACAAAGTGTTGAATACGTTTATTTGGGACACACCACAAAGCGAAGCGGAGAAACAGTGAATGAAACGAAAGAAGCGACGTGAATCGGAGAAGACTGTTGAGCCAACTCTCAGGATTACAATGCGAACGAATGGGCGAAGAAAGCGATGTGGAGAAGACTAGTGAGCCAGTTCAAAGAGATAGAGATAGTCAAACAAAGATAAGACAGACATGTGACAAATGAAATAGGTACACGCGGATAAAAGCGACGAATAGTTGACAAAGTCAAATGACAAATGGGACACGTCATGTGAGTTCATACAAACCAGACAATAATAAGAACGGATGGTATATATAAATTGTTGAAACACAAATAGCTTGGTTAAATAAATTAATCGAAATGGCTTAACCAAATTAGATGTAAGCGAACTGGAATATATGTGGAGACACTACAGTAGATATAGACAAAATATGCTGAATATAGGCTGAATCAAAGTAAAGTATTATTCTTAAGCTATTTGCCGATGACTAGTGTAACTAAATAAACCATTTAATTGCATAACATTCTGTTTGTTAAACATTGAATTGACTCTCATCACTTACTTAATTTCACATCTTCTTTGTCTTCATCGTATACTGGACAATTTGGATGTTTGTCAATAGCTTGTTCAACAATACGTTTTAATGCTTCTTGTGAGAGAACATAGCCTGCACCTCCAGAAAAATAGCCATTTTTTGTAAGGTACTATTAAAAAGTCAATATATAAATATAACTTGTTTAAAAACAGATGACAAATAATTAATTATTAGATAGCTTAAGATTTATATTTGTTGGTAAAACTTTTCACGAAAGAAAAGGTTAGATTCGATTCTGAACAAATAAAATAAAATAATGTAAACTGCTACAAAGTTCTGAAGCACATAAATAACTGTTAGTTTGTTAATGTTAGTCATGTAAACTCGGATTGTTAAGACTATCTGAACTTATTTTCTTTAATTAATGACATTTGTTCATAGTTTCCCGAATTGCAATTAAGTTAATGACTAGCTGTCAACTCGTTCGATAATTACAAGCCAATAGGAATATTTGGTCAACTAACAGGTCCTTTAAATATCAATATATTAGCTCTTAGATAATGTACCAAATATCTAGACTATCATAGATTCAGCTGCTGTATCTTCTTGCTCTTTGAGTAGATACTGTAGTGTTCAGAACTTGGTGCTGAGAACTATATTGAGTTTGCCAGTATCTTGAATGAAGGCTGCAATCAACTTCCGCGACGCCGTTTCTTCAGTCGTCAAGTGCTTCTTAAGTTTCATGTTTATCTTGGTTACCACATAGTAGTGATCTAAAGCCATCGCAGCTCCTCCTTCGGTTCTCACATCTTTCATGGTCGTTCTGAGATTTTCACTGATGCAGATGTGATCGGTTTGATTCTGCTTTGTGTGGCCCAATGAAACCCAAACAGTTTGTAGAAGAATAATGGTGCTACCTATAACTACTTTGTCAAAGGAATTTTCTTTCACGTATCTCTCACCGTTTTTTCATTCTCCCATTATGTTGTCCCATTATATCTTCATCGTTGATGGGCGCTTAGTACTAGATTTTACTCATTCTATTCCCAATCTTCTTTGTTTTGAAGGATGCTTTGATGGTCATAAATCCGTGCCATTCCCTTCCAGCAAGTATTCTGGAGTTTATTTGGAGAACATCAGTGCAACTTCTTGTGTGTATGAAGCAATTTCTTCTTCATGGTGGTCGAAATACAATAGCATCTCTCCTGAAGCTAATCTTTTTTGCCTAGTCTGTGACCGATGAGCTGTACTTATTCCAAACACTATCAAGTTATATCTTTTCTCTTCTACAGCAGTTCCAATGGTCTTCCCGGTTCCCTACGATGTTCCAACATTCCATGCACCTATGTGTATTGTTGTTCTGGTTGTCAAAAACAGTATCGGCTTTTTGAAATTCGAAGAAGCTCGACCTCCATCATGAGATATAATGACATTTCCAAATGATAACCCTTAAGGCATTATATTGTCATTGCCGTTATGACTCCTATCACTGTAAGCTCTGTCTGCCTAATATATCCAGAAACGAAATGTTCATCAAAACCTTGGTGATTCGTACAGTGGATTTCAAATGGCGACACCTAATATAAACACATATGAATAGTTTTAATGCGAGAAAAAGTCACCTCATGTATTTTCGATTTTTAATTTGTTGTGTTTGTTGAATTGCCATAGTTTAACATTCCAAGTTCAAAGATCATATTCGTTTTTGACCAATAAATTGGTGAAATCCAAATTATTTCATTATTATAGATAACTTACTGGGTTATGATTAAAAGCTGATGTTCACCTTTGATATTAGATAACGTCAGTACATTTCGCCTATGAATTGATTATATCAGTAGTTAGTAATCATCTAGATTATGTCAGTTATTGATAGAAACTATTTGAACGCTACACTTCTATAAATTGATTATTTAAACAAGGGTTTCGTTAAACAAAATTCTAACTTCATGTGAACCGAATAAAATAAAAGTATTCACTCAAGTGCTTCTTTTATATTATGCAATCAATAAACTTTAACAAACACTAATAGTTTAAGCATAAACAATCCTACTTATACATTTAACAGAGTTCCTAAAGTGTTAGCTATGTCACCTAGAAGTGTTTGATAGCCTTAGGGAACTTACACTCCTTATGGAACTCAGATATTTCTTAAGAAAAGGTAAAAGTGCTATTATCCTAAACAATACCCAACTGTCATTTTCTGAAAATTCCCTCATAAATTATCGAGAACTATGAAAGCCATCATCCAGAAGATACAAGTGTTTATTAACAGTTGTCTAAGCAAAATACTTCTGATTCGTTGGCCAGACACTATCGGCAACAACGTACTGTGGGAGAGAACAAACCAGATTCCAGTGGAGGGAGAAATCAGGAAGAAGCGGTGAAAGTGGATAGGACACACTCTGCGGACAGCACCCAACTACGTCACAAGATAAGCCCTCACATGGAACCCTCAAGGTCAAAGGAAAAGAGGAAGGCGAAGGAACACATTACGCCGAGAAATAGAGAAAGATATGAGAATAATGGACAAAAATTGGACAGAACCGGAAAGTGAAGCCCACGACAGAGTTGGTGGGAGAAAACTGGTAGGCGATCTATGCTCCATTGAGGGTAACAGGCGTAAGTAAGAAAGTAAGTAAGTAAATTATATTCCATACTCAGAAATCAAATAACCCACGATCCTGTGTATAAAGTTTTGGTTATACCTTCATGATAGTTGGCACAAGAGATATCGTTTAAAAATGAAAATTTAAATTAAGGACGATAGTTCTCGTAAAAACTTAAAAATTTTCCAGAGTACTTTAGTTCCATGTGTTTATTTTGCACAATAATACTTAGAAATTATCAATCTAACTAGTGTTATGTATCAAAAATTACTAAATATTCAATCAAAATAATCAACTTACAGGAAAATTATAACCCATCATAAATGGATCTTTTGGATTATGCTGACTTAACACAGATCGTAAATTCTCCATTACTACGAAAGTATCATCATCTGCTTTTAAAAAATAATCATATTTATCTACATATTGATAGACATAACGTAGAATTGCTCGCATTTTACTCCATAAATGTTTACGACTTTCTGGATAACTTAAATTTAACTCTTAAATAAAAACAAAGAAACAAACGAAATGTTAGTTTAGTGAAAATGAAAAAAAAACAGCTGTTTCATATGGTCATAACGATATTGACGATATTATTTTGCTGTCATACTTTATTTGAAACCTACAGGAAAATAGATGTTATCCTATGGTATATACTTAATGCAAAGTTACGTCAGTAGTATGGACTAATTAAAAATAAATTAAAAACAACTAAATGAATAATAATTATCACTAATTATGTTTAAAAATTTACAAAATATTGTAAAGTATTAAGTGATTTTTATATGATGATTTTAGAAATGACAACTAACACTTGTAGACTTTAGCAAATTTCGAATGGAATTTTAGATAAATTTTGAAATGGTTAGGATTGTCACTAGGTATGCTTGAAACTATCACGGGTTCACCTTAGTCAATAAACGAGAACAAGACAATCAACCAACGTCCAGGTAGGCTACCCTGATTCGATGACTAACGAAAAGTCTTGACATAGAGTAGAAAGTATATTCTATAAACACCCAAAATGAATTCAGGCACACAAATCGCATTTATTTATACGTCTTAGAAACATCCTTGGAAGAGTCACAGAAATAGCACACTAAAATACACAGCAACCAATCACAGCCAAGGGTTTTCATGGTGGGAAATGAAATCTCAAGGTCAACCGATCAGCCCATGCTCGGAAATATAAAATCCAAGATTAAAGCATTTATCAAGCGAGTTCTGGGGATCTAACGTCCCCAACAGAAATGTCAGTGATATTAATAAATAATTTGAACGAAAATTAGTTATAGATTTCATTCTCAAAAATTATCTCGTAATTTAATAATTTGGACTTGGAGTTCGAATTTCAGCATTCTGATACAAGTGTATCCAGTTGCGAAATTCCGAGTAAGGTGAAACTGGTAACTTGCACTCCACTGTTTGTCACTACCTAGAAAATTATGATGAATATTTGTACTCAGGTAGTATCGTGTTTATTTACAGAATTTAAGCGTCAATCAAAATTTGAAATTTCGGTTTGCGATCTCATCAGTAGAAAACTTTGAATGCTTATCTATCAATAGGGATAAAATTCGTTAGAAGTTGAGGATGAATTAAGCGTTAGTATACTTACACTAAATCACCAGATTATGGAATATTTAACATGGAGTCTACAATTAGTCGGTTTTATTGTATTGAACAACATATATTATGTGTTATTCATTTGTAATTCTGTCTAATCCTCTGAACTCAATTAATGAATAGCACTTGGGAACAGCTGGAAAGGAGAGCCCAGGACAGAGTTGATTGGAGAACCCTGCTCGGTGACCTATGCTCCAGAATCGATAAGTGATTAAATATGGACTGAATAACTGATATCGTGCTTTAAAGTATTTGAAAGTAACAACCAGTTAACGACAAATATGTCATTAAGAACCTCGAGATTGGCATCCTGTTATAAGATATAGTTTTATGATTCATTTTTCTGGTCTTCTGACTTAAGGATTTGAATTTTACAGAACTTGTGGTCTTTTCTCTTGACTTCTGTTATTCTAACCAAGTGTTCGATAAGATGAAAATCGTATACTCAAAAATCCGCTCTAGAAAGTGAAGAGTTTATCGTTATTGTCGAATAAATTAAAATTTTGAGAAAAACTGCGGTTTCATAGTGAAGATTTTCAACATCAGCACTGCTAGACTCTGTAGGCAGGTTGAATTCGTACAGTGATTCTAATTTTCACATCACAAGATAGTAAATACTGTTCTATAATGACAGTTTATTTAAAATTTTCTATTTATTTCACTATAAAAGAGATTATATAAACAAAATTTAATTTCATAACTGAGGATTCTAAAGATCTGAAAGTATCAAATTATTCACCACCAAAGTAGTTTTAGATTAAATTTCGAATACATGTTGCAGAATTATTGGAAAGACCTTCAGCTTTTCACAAAATATGAATGTCTAGTAAAACTTGTAAAAACCAGAGTAAATTTATTAACAGCCTACTGGTTTTTGTGGGGATTCCAGAATTTTTATGCTTTATGTTATGAGCTGATCTTAACTGAACCCCCACCGAAAACCAGGAAGAACTAGACAGCTGTTGACTCTTAAACAGTGTTCACCCACGAAACTCTTCCGATAAATCAATGCCACACAGGTGTTTAACCTCAAGACAATATTGTGAATTGATTGAAGTTAAACACTTGTACTATTTGATTTCCACCCTATAGTCACGAGTTCAAGCCTTCGCGCCTGAAACTGAAAGATATGAGTTCGAATTTCTCGAGGCCGTGAGCACGCACTGTTCAGTTTCATACTAAAGTGGAACAGCTGTTCACTGCTGCCTGGTTGTCATTGGTGATCTACCGAAGATCGATTCGTGATGTAATCTATGCAAACATGTTAACTAAACTCATCAGACTTCCATAAAAAGGTTAAGGTTTCTTTGAAAATACTAACTTCTCAGCTAAGTGAATACACCATGAAACAAAAGTTAACTGTAGAAAAATATTTCATTAATGTGTAATAAAATACACAGTAAATTATTAATTGGTCAAAGAAAATCACTCATAGTACTGGTAAAAATCAAGTTATATAAATGTTAAAATTCTGTAGTGCAGATTTAGTCGACTTACTAACAGTTGGTAATTCTTTATCATATTTACTACTCATAAATATATATTTTGTACAACGTTTTGCCCAACTATTTTTGACATAAATAGCCTTGGTTCTATGTGTTTTTGGTATTGTATTAATATAACACAATATACGAACAGATGAACGTAATTTTTCAGCTTCTTCTATATTAACTACTAAAACAACAATCATATGAAAAAACAAACAAACAAACAAACAAATTATTAATGTATCAATGTTGTTTTAATCTTTATAAATGTACAATTTTCAAGATGTAATAATAAATATTGAAAGCTATGCTTCATTTTCAGTGGTTGAACTAGTGTTCATGTCATTGCTAATTCAGAACAAAGGACTTTGGTTGGACTATAAAATATCTAAGATTCTCCATATTAAATTCCTCAAAATAATTTGTTCATGTTTGTTAGTCACTAGTGTTAATCTAATCTGTATGACTAAAGGAATCTTAAAGTAAGTTTAGGAATGTAAATGTAAAATCCAGTTGACTAAGTGTATTTACTGTTAAATAGTTAGTAGCAATCGAAAAGAGGCATTATTTGAAGTAATTCTATGCCCTATTTGCAAAACATCATGAACTTATCGAAACTGATACTCATTTGTAAATTTTAACTTGAATTGAAGCCAGTGTTGTTACCGACAATCACTCATCTTTTATTACTTAATTAACTGTGGTTTAAATGCAAAATTTTTCAGAAACATAGTTTTTGGGCCTCTAGTTTGTTCAAAAAGTTGGAGTTTCATTCTGAAATAGTTTAATTCGGAACGAATTCTTGAAAAAAGTTAGTGAAATAGTTGTTTCAAGCTCAAAATCCATAAGGTCAAAAATAACAACCGCGAAATGCATTCTTTTAAATGCTTATTTTATAATATTCGAATTACCCGACTTGATTAACTTGACCAACATAGAATAAATTCAAAGAATTTTTAGCACATTATTTAAACAAGAATATCAAAAGTAAAGTAGTTTATAAGGTTTGAAGCATATTTCAATAACCACTTGCAAGATTCACACTTATTGTTTGGAAAATATAGCATGAAAAGGTAGCTCTTCCCCAATAACCCGCTGGTATATAGTGTTATAAGTGGTTACAACTATTTTGGTTACCGTTCTACAACTTATTGATCGATGAATACCAGGAATAAGTAAAACATTGAACTGAACACATTGAACTGAGATGATAATGTTCAACTAAATATTGAAATGTGACACAACCGAAACTTAAGTTAAAAAAATAATTCATTGTAACCATCATAATATTTTTATTAACACATAGATTGTTTTCATTGTTTACTACAGAGGTTTTACTGACTGTTTGCAGATGAAAAATATGAGCATAATGTAGCTGCTTGGATTGGATGAAGAATTAGCCACAAATTACCTGTAACTGGTGGGTTTATTCAATCTAATCACTTTCATAAGCAGAGGCGGATAATGGCTATCAGTGGAATCTACGAGGTGGGTTTCATCCTATTTTAAAGTCATCAGTTTGATGTATCTGAATCTCACAGTTAATGTTCGATTCAGGACTCGAACTAAGGACACTTCACTTCAAACGCTATTGGGTTATACATGTAGCTACTGAGTTTAGATAACTACTGGCCTGTGCAATGGGGTGAAGTTTAATTCATTTGTATTGGTTGTTTGAATCGTGAAGTGCACATCAACTGTAGGATCCAAGTAAATCCAACTGACGAGTCTCAAATGGGACGAAACTTGCATCCCGTATTCCATTGCAATCCACCATCCAACTCTACTTATAATGCATATAAATATAAAGGCGGTTCTCACAGAAAACTGATTGATTGCAGTTGTAAACATCAATGGGAACATTTAAACAACCAATGCAAATGAATTAATCTGAACACTTGTTCGTCAAATTCTCAAAAAAATAGCTTGCTGAAACGTTTGCTTATCTTGTAAAAAATTGAATCTTTTAGTAAGCTTATTCAAACATCATGATCAGTAATTTTTTCGAAAGTCCTTAATATAAGGCTGGTAAGTGGAAACTACAGTAAACATTGACAATGAGACAGCTCTTTAACACAGCATACTTCTCGATCGTTTATCAGGTTTTACTCGTTTATGATAAAATATATTCTCTTATAAAGTTGAATTTTATGGAAAAAAACTTTTCGTATATATCTCAATGAGTCTATGAGGATTAGATTTATTGACTAAATAATTACATCAAACTTACAGTAAGTTTGTTCGACCACTTTCTGTTGATATGAGTGGTTTTTTTCATGTTTTCCTATTTTAAAATGTAAATCAGTATGTATTTTCCTGGTTTTATCATTTTTACAGAGAATAAGTTTATTTTCATATCTAGATTTTAGTGAAATAACAATAATTCCTGTCAGAATTCCAATGAATAATGGTAGAAATTTACGAATTTCAAAAAACATAGTAAAAATGATATACAGAATTCGGTACTTTCTGTGTAAGTCACAACAAATGATACAGAGTATATATATATATATCATATCTGGGTATGTAAGCAGATATACATGAGAACAAAGTACAACAAATGAATTTGAACATGAAGAGTTATGTTAATAGGCTGATTTAACACTGTTTACACTTCTCTGTGGATTTTGAAACTTCACCTGATTTGTGTACTTTGAAATAGATGGTTTTTTGTTAAAGCTGTATAACTAGGCCGTTTGTGGATATCTGCGTGAATATCCGTGAATATGAGTGAATATATTGTAACTTCAGCATTTGGCTGGTCTGCGTTTATCCAGGAGGAAGAAATCAATAGATAGCAACTAAAAATAAAGCCAGTATGAGATTAAGACAGACTGATAAACGAAGCTAGAAGTTATTAGATTGGAGTTTCGAATACATTACTTCATATTATATTTAATTTTTACAGTAATCCATATTGAATCCTTCAATATAATTCAGGTATACTAGCTCATTATGTAGCCAAAGATTTAAACACATTGAAAATGTCTTTCATGAAGTCACATTAATTGATCGTAGAATTTCTCTAGTTCATACGTAATAGATATCTATAAAGCGTTTTGGAAGTTTCCAAATATTAGTGTGATGTATTTGGGGAAGAAATCAATGATAAAATTAGGATTCGGTTGAGTGAAATTCAATCTTATTGATCAAACGTTTTGAGTCTGGTTTATATAGAGCTGGATGGATTAACCATCAATACGAATTCTTCGTCTTTTTTCTATCCACGTTACTTCAGTGAGTGGCAATAAATATTTTCATCTCATATTTTAAAGCCGAGTTTATTTCAAAATAGTTCGTTCTTTACAAACCTTCAACACGTGTTTATTAACGTTACCATGGTAACTTACTTATTTTTCCCTACGTACAACTGAAAAGATCAGTATAGCAATCAGACAAATCAAGAGCGGCAAAGCAGCAGGACCAGACAACATTCCAGCAGAGGAAATGAAAGTAGAGAAAGAAGCAACTGCAAAAATACTTCACATTCTCTTCAACAAGATTTGGGATGAGGAACAAGTACCATCAGATTGGAAAGAAGGATACCTGATCAAAATACCAAAGAAAGGCGATCTCAGAAAATGTGAGAACTACAGAGGTATCACTCTTCTTTCGATGCCAGGTAAAGTTTTCAACAGGGTATTGTTAAACAGAATGAAGGGCTTTGTACACGCCCAACTTCGAAACCAACAGGCTGGATTTCGTAAGGATCGATGGTGTACTGACCAAATGGCTACATTACGGATCATTGTGGAACAATCAATTGAATGGAACTCACCACTCTACATCAACTTCATCGACTACGAGAAAGCATTCGATAGCATGGATAGGAAAACACTGTGGAGGCTTTTTCGACACTACGGTGTGCCTGAGAAGATAGTTAACATCATACGGAATTCTTATGATGGGTTCAACTGCAAAATCGTGCGCGGAGGTCAGCTGACAGATATGTTTGAGGTGAAGACCGGTGTCAGGCAAGGTTGCTTATTCTCACCCTTCCTCTTTCTCTTGGTCATCGATTGGATTATGAAGACGTCAGCATCTGGAGGGAGGCACGGTATCCAGTGGACAGTTAGGACGCAGCTGGACGATCTGGACTTCGCAGATGACTTGGCTCTTCTATCGCACACGCAACAACAAATGCAAGAGAAGACGACCAGTGTAGCAGCAGCCTGTGCGGCAGTAGGTCTCAACATACATATAGGAAAAAGCGGAATTCTCCAATGCAATACGACATGCACCAACAAAATCTCTCTTGATGGAGATCCTTTGGAGGACGTTAACACCTTTTCATGTAAGTGGATAGGACACACACTGCGAAAAGCACCCAACTGCGTCACAAGACAAGGTGACCCCACTTTCAGGGAGAGAATGCTATCTGTTTAATGGAAACATTTATTATTGTAATTGGCTGTACCTGTGATTGTTTTATTGTATTTATGGACTAATCCACTTTCCGTTCTTATCGCTTTCATATTAGTTACTGTGATAGTGGTAGTTTCGTTTGCATCTTTTGGCACAGTCTCTGTATTTTTTGGTACCTTTAGTACCTCACCGACAAATATACATTCATTCCTGGATCTAACTATCTTCCTTGTTTTGGTTTAACGGAGGGATTTTACCAACTAACTGGAACGTAATTAGTCTGTATTAGTAATCATATTTAACCTTGACTTGTCTCACTATAATATGATGAAATATCTCGTAGACAGATCAAAATTCCTGCACAATCTAAATTTTTGAACAGTGGAACAAATAAAAATAAATATGTCAAGTTGTCGACCACACAGTAGCATTTTGTGTATTTTACACAGAAACTAACGTGATCTAAATTACGCTGCATAATTATCGTAGCGATAGAAATTGATACGGCTTGGAACATGTATACAAGGACCTGAAATGGTATCGCACAAACAGATGCTTATGAAGAAGGAGAACTCTAAGTTACACCACGAGGGGATTTATTTTTTAAACTTAATTAAGCAGTTATTTAGAACAAGTGAGCTTCATTGAGGTATAGTTTACTCGTAGAGACTTCTTTATTCAGAAGGTTGTATATTCTTGACAAGAAGACGCTTGGAGGTAGCATAAAGTGGAAAATAAAAGATCCTTCTATTTCTACAAGCCTAGCTGAATTCCGCTAAAGAATGTATATTATTGCATTATCAAGCAAATCAAATCAACTTTGGTCGCTCGATCGCAGACAACACAACGCTTCAGTCAACGTGAAAATGTGCAGCAACGCATCTAGTTGCTAGTAGTTAGACAAAGATTACATAGTTAGTAACCCAAACGTTTCATTGTAGAGATCGTGTACTATCCCAGTTTTCGCGTGACCTCAAATTCTTGGTCAGAGACAACGTCATGTGTGAAAAAATCCTGAAAACAAGCTCTCATGTTACATCCAACACCAGTCGGATGCAAAAGACATGGAAACCACTGCGCCTTAGCAGAGATTTCGGATAGATAAATGGAGAGAGGTTCTCTGTCTGCGTCACATACGATCAAAAATAATAATTTGTTCTCAGATAACGACATTTTTAATGAGGTATGTCGACTTACAGGCAAGCTCAAAATGTTTAAGTTTCTAACACATTTGCAGTAGAAAGTTGTTCAGTTCAATTAGTAGTTCACAAGATATGCTGGCATTTTATGTAGCGCTAGTATTTTACATATAAAATTGTAAATAATGTTTCAGACTAAGGAATGTACGCTGCAATAGTTGGCGCGAATTATGTCATTTGCGTTGTGACAAACCACTGCTGGATGAGAATAATTGCAAGGTAAATCCACGTCCTAATATTATAGGAATTAATCTTCTTGAAGATGTCTGCCAGATAATAGTTTAACAGGCTCCTTTGAAAGGCAACTTAAGTCCTCAGGAGTATCATAATTATTATTTAGTGCGTATGATGAGGTGCTAAAAAAGAGGAATGAAAAGAATTGGGCGAGGTACAGATCATAAAGTAATCCTGTTTAAATCTGAGTTATGACTCAGATGATAATAGTTTTTGGATAGGACAAAGGTATGATTGCTCAGATCTTTCTTTCACGTATTAGAATACTGGCTGTACACCTTCTCTTGTGTAGGTTAACGAAAACAAGTCACTAGTAGAAGGACGAATAGGCAAATAATCCCATGAATAAAAGATATTAAAAAGAATTGAATTGTTGGAAATTAGTTGATTTACATACTACAACAATGAAGGAACAGTGATGTCATGCTTCGGTGATATTTCATTCTTTGATTTTTCTTAATGTTTTAATACCATTGCTCACAAAGTCATGAGTGGGCTCTTTTTTTTACCGTAATTGTCCAAATCTGCTAGTGTTAGGTTTTTTAGTGTTTTAGTCTAAGCTTTCTTTTTTGGACACATTGTCGGAATATACTTTCTCTACTAGCTCCACGTTACAAGTAAACCGGACAATGTGTGCCATATCACACTGCTACTACGTTTGTAGTGGAATACGTTTACGAAGAGAACGCAATTTGTGAAACGGGAACATTTATTATTGTACCTAATTATGCCAATGATTGTTTTATTGTACTCCTTCTGTTTAACTGTACTAAAAACCACTACTTCCAATGTCCAATATCTTTTTCACGAGGTAGTGTATAGATCGTTTGCGTCGTGTGAGGCAGAATATGCATGACGTGGGTCGGTGAAGCCCATTCCCACAACTTTTTTGATTAGGTGTCCGTGGGGTACTGTGTCAAAGGCTTTTGCAAAGTCGAGAAATATTACGCGCACCAAACAGGATGCCCAACTGTCCCATGCGATGAGAAGATTAGATGCACACGACCTGCCTTTCCGAAACCCGTGTTGAGCTTGATGGAGTATTTTATTCTTATCCATGTACTCCCTCCTTTGTTCGTCCACCAGCCCTTCCATAACCTTTGATAATATTGGTAGTAGTGCGGCTGGTCTGAACGTGTCGCTAACGTTGGTCGGTTGCCCCGGTGGTTTTGTTTGTCATTGTTTCACTCTCTCGATATCTTTTCAATATCTTGAGATTATCTATCAATACGGTTCGTTCTCCAATCATAGCTGGACTTTTAATTTTCGGCCGTGACTGGATTTAACTTAATTGTCTCGGAATAAGTAATCTAAATTCGCTACAAGTTAACTTATGGTATAAAATTTAGGATATGAATCAGTTAGTAGGTTATTTGGAGATAGGAAGGATGGCATCTAACGAAAGGAAATAAGGAAATAGTTTCAGAAAACTCATAAATAAGGTGATAAATAGTAAAGAAAGCCAACTGTTTCAATTTTAGTGAATTTGTGAGGTAATCCATGAAATAAAAGGGACTCACAATGATACAGGAAGTTTGAGTTCCTTGTATTCGACAGTAGTTGAGCAGCATCTACAGGTTTTTCAATTGATCTATCTACCAGAAATAGAAACCAAAGGTGCTTTGAAAATTAGAAGAATATGACGAAGTTAGTGTGACCTGGAAGGAGGTGAACTTGAGTTAGGCAATATCAGCTAGTGGCGAAAAGGAGAGCCTGGCACAAACGCAAAGTCTCTGTAGATGATTTTGAATGCAGTTCTTACTTGTCAATAAGGGAAATGTACAGCGCAAAAATTTTAAGCGAACGGAGATATTTCCAGGCTAAGCTAGCAGTCAAGATTCAGGTCAGTCTAAAATATATCTTTAGAATCCTGACTAAAAGAACCTAAAAACCAGGGTATTTATGCATTCCAAAGCCCAGAGATTGTGGAAATCTTCAATGCTATCTCCAATGACCGATTAAAACGTAAGCTCAGAATACTACGCATACATATAGTGCTAACTGATGGCCTAGGGAATATCCGACTTACTGATGATTTAGTACTAACGAAACTCAAATCTCTGTGCCAAATAAAGTCACAAGGGCGCGATTACATTCGCTTTATAGTTTAGAAACAGTGTGTGGAAGCCCTCATTTTTCCGGTATGTGACCTGTTTGTGCACTCACTGGAGGGAAATCAACTAGCAGATGAATTAAAACAAGCTACTATCTTTCAAATCTTCATCAGAAAAGATAGGAAGGATTCAGTCTGATACAGAACAGTCGCATTACTATCAGAACTATCGAATGGAATGGAAGGACTGGTAAATGAGAAAGTGACGATATTTATGATAAGAATAACATTCCCCATCAAGACCGACATGGGTTTGGGGTGAACAATGTGTTCCTAGATTTCGTAATTTACTCCTTCAGACAATCGTACTAAATAAAGCCTGATGGTTTGTAAGTCAGAAGGTAAACATGGAGGGTTGAATACGTTTAAAATCGTACACCACAAATACATTAGTAGACCACAGACATGAAATTGATATACGAGTGCCGGAAGGCAAGCAAGCAAACGAATTAGAGAATGAGCGAATCGGTGAATGATTTAATAAGATTAAAATGTTCATATATATACATAGTAAAATGTCTGAGTCATCGAAATATTTAAGAGATTAATATTGAAGCAAATATGATGAATATGCGCGTAGGCGTAAGCAATGTTCAGTCGTACCAGCTCATACAAATTATACAACAGTAAAAGCCAATGTTACATATAAATTGTTGCTATACAAGTGGCTTGGTCAAATAAGTTAATCGAAAGGCCTAACCAAATTAAATATAAGCGAACTCAAATGTATGTGGAGGCTCTACATGGTTAGGAAGGGCAGGTCATGCTCATTCAACATTTTCATTATATGGGTCAGCTGGACCACCAGCTTGGACTAAGATACACTAAGATACAGTTCAACACAGTACCCCGGGCCCTCCTAATAGCAAGGGCTTCACTGACCCACTTCTCTCTTGGCTCATAAGGTACGTTTGGAACAGAAATTTTCGAACCAAGGCAAAAAGAGTACATGCGAGTATCGTAGTTAAGATCAACTCAGCAGTAATAATCTTTGCAGATGATGCCAACAACTGGATGCCAATAAGATGCGACCTGGATGTACTTGAGCCTAGGCATGACCATAAAACCATTGGGGAAACGAATTAAACTTAACCAGTCGAAATTTTACGTTGGGAAACGAGAATCATGCCAAGACATCACAACTACGTACCCCCTTAAGACCTACATTGACTGATGCATGTCACTGTCATTTCTTCAGATCACTAATTCATTCTGTGAAAGTCGCGGGTATCGAGAAATCCTGCTGCACGTCAAACCATCCCAACATGAGCATCTTACTGATGCATCACCACCACTCCCCTCGAGGCAATACCCGAAGAATTGCGCATCAATGAGCGAATACTCGGGTTCGTGCACACTATTTCTCACTAAGAGTCGTTGGAATGCTCTCCCAGCCAGGGTAACCACAGCCCTCTCAGAGGACAGCTTTGAGAAGATACTTGATAAAAAAATACCGACATACGGATTGTCATCTCCCCCGTGGAGAAGCTGTACCTGATGCATACTTGAGACTTGCCATTCCATATTACTGCCATCTCCTAAAATCACTAACTTAACCAATATCGCCTATTATCTCTGTTTTCTCTACCTTGCTTACACTACGGTCCTCTCTCACAATCTTCACTACCAATTGATAAACTAAATTATCCATTATTCACTTAGTCCTGAAATCTTACTCTTAATAACTCTAAAATTTTCTCCTTATTATTCTCCACATTGCAACTAACTGATCTCCGGCATGGTAATGTGATGGCTTCTGGTATCCAGAAGCCTTACCGCCTTGAAACAAACGTTTAATTCAAACCCCGAGGCATACAAACTCACAACCAACTGCCGACTGACTAGAATTAGACAGTTGAGTGGCTAGACCCCCATTAATTGGACACTACCAAACACCTGGAACCATACCAGACGAGAAAAAATCGAGCGCCGAGAGATTAAATGGTTTAAACTGACCCATAAAAAAGATACTGGATAAATATTGGGAGACAAACGTACTGAAATCTTAGGAAGTCTAAATTCATAAGCACCTGCCAAACGATTGAAAGCAGTAAAGTCAGGTGGCTGGAATACCATCCACATGAAAGTTATTAAGTACCTGAAGTGGAGTCGAACGACCGAGAAATGAGTGCTAGGCAATCAATTGGTTTGTACTAGCACATGAGGAAAATATTGGATATCGGATCGGGCGCTGATCTCAAAACTGGTCGAACGACAGGGTTGACCTTGGGTTGTTTTGAGAATGGCATATGTAAGTTGATCAAATTGAGATTTTGTTATTTCATTGAGCAACTCCTATAAAAAGGATGTATATAACGACGTTTGACAGTGGGTTCCAAAGTCTCATTCAATAGTGCACTGGTGGTCGTACTTTCGGAACTAAGAAAATAAAATCAACTAACATCATGTTACTTTATAGAGTTTGAATCGTTGTCCAGAAATTTTATCTGGTCCCATAACATCTTTTACTGGACCTAATTACTTAAAATTTGGCTTTATTTAAGTTGCTATTCTTAGTAGCTCCATCATTTATTTGGATCCTAGTGAAATAACCAGTACGGAGACGTAAATACCGACTCACTTGTGATGTTTTTTGCCCTCTCTCCAGACGCTGGTTGCATGTACACGTATATTGTTCCCAAAACTGTACCTCACAGATTCTGCGTACGCAATAGTGAATTTGTCACTATTGGTACTTGGAATCTGTGGTTTCGAAAGAATTTTTATCACCACTATCTTCGAACTCTACAGTTATAAGATGTTTTAGTTTCCGTTACTTCGACTTAAAAATAATTTTTGTGTATCAACTTTCTACATGCTTTATCAATGGCTTTCGAGATGAGTGAGTATCATTTGCTCACGTGACCCGTTTGCGGACTAATTTATCTTCACCTGCGCCTATCTCTCCTCCAGTTACTTTTATTTATAAAGCATTGAAAACTTGATGTTTCAGTTTTTCTGGCCTAGTAGATAGTCGTTTAGATGGTTGAAGAAGCTCAAACGTTGAGTCTGACCAATCCTAAAGAAGCACTTAACGTTAACAGAGTGAAATTTGAATGTACTGTCATTACTTGTCAGGGTGCTAAAAACGCTCTAAGCTTTGGTTCGTTTTCACTAAAGAGAACTTCCATCTGGAATTTTTAAGTCCATAAGTAGGTCTTGGTGGTTAATTGATCTCTGAAGTTAGACGATGTTATTTCCAGAGGTCAATCCACAATAAAAATTGGTGGAAATACAAATGAATAACCCTAGGTATCACTGCTTGTAGTAGGAGATCTATTTAGTTAAACAATTTTCTGATATTTTAGACTGGAATTCCGGCTTCACTCATATTTATCTTAGTTAAATTCCATTTTTCCAATTTAAAATTTCACAGTCTCGTCGGTTACACCTGTTCGATCAAAAAGAAGTCAATTTACTGGACAGCAAAGATCAGTTCTCAAAGTTGCAAGTATGTACTTGTTGTTTTTCTGATTATTCAAACTTGTTTCCCGAATTGATTTCACTCTTCAACGATTCAACTGTATTATTTCATTAATCAAGTTTATAGGTAATAACATTGTTCTTTTTTTTAGTACGTGTATTTTTAGAGCTCGTCGGGACTCAGTGATAGGGTGGGTCATATGCACTATATACCGTCTAACCGACAAAAAACATGTGAATTATTATGAGACCGCGTGTATTTACTAAAAATTTAGGCACTCTAGTTGATAATAGGTCATTAGAGGAATGGGTTGGGAACAGGACAAATGAAGCTCATCGCATCATTGTGGAATAACCATTGATAATTTCTCAATAAAAAATTTATTTTTGGGAACATTTACTGATACAGTACATATGTTGTAGTTGATTGTAAAATTGAATTGTATTATATCATAGTGTTCTAAAATTTCACGTATTAGTCAGATGTTAGTATTTTTAGTTATTATGTTATTAGGAAACCCTCATTTGTTACTTGAGATTTCCGAATATTTTATAATTCATTGCCACTTTATTCTCCAATAGGTCACTCTGTGTCGTTTACAAATACAACAAGATAAAGGAAATGTCAGTCGTGCACAAGATATAGTATGTTGCATGTACACATCGGTTCAAATTTTAATATCCCGTTAGCACGGCGTCACCTATGGCGCAGGCGAGATATCCTTTTGCTAACCAAAGGACGAGTGTACTGTGCAGCAGTTCGCTCCGTTTTACTGTACGGATGCAAGACTTCGCCGTTAAGAGTAGAGGACTTCCGTAGGTTACTAGTCTTCGATCATCGATGTCTCCGAAGCATTGCTCGTGTATCATGGGACAACCGTATAAGCAATGCTGCGTTAGGAAACAAGTTCTGGGTAGGAACGGCAAACCAATAGATGAAGTAATGAAACTTCATCAGTTGAGGTGGTTGGGACATGTGTTACGTATGGCTAACCACCGACTGCCACGACGAGCTATGTTTTGCAGTGTAGGAGTAGATTGGAAGAGAGGTAGGGGCGGCCAGACCAAAACATGGCAGAAATCCATGAAGTCACTGACAAGTGGACTGAGTCATGGGGGTAATTGTCGACTACCTGGTTGGGGTCCGCGAGACGAAAGTCACCGATGGTTAGAAACCTTGATTGACATGGCTGATAATCGTTTGCAATGGCGCAGGTGCATCCACTCTTTGTGTTCTATGAAATTCTAAGCTTCTGCATTCCTCATAATGTCTATCTTTCTCCTTCTAAACTTATCTTACTGAATTATACTTATCGAATCATATCTTCGCTCCCTAATCTTCTCCATTACTGCTTATACTTCTATTATTGCTATCACTGTTGGATTTGAACTGACGATTGCGTCTCTGTGCTGATGAGGCATGGCAACCTGAACTGATGTACTTACATACGAAGTTCTGCGTTGTACCTGTCTGTCTGTTAGCACGGCGATATAAAATTGCCAAGGCTAATCCTAGAGTAATAGAGACAGTAACAGTTAGTGGTAATAGAAAAGACTAGACATACAAGATACAATTCACCGAGAAAATTTAAATTGATGAAATGAGAATGAATTGAAAGAATCAGAATGGATTTGAAGACAATTCACCTGCTTCATTGAAAAAAGATTTCGAATCATGTCGCAGATCCTAGTTCTATTAATTATAATTTTTTTTTCCGTAAAACGACTAGTGAATACTCATTTAATCCTCTTGATACACATACTTAGATATTTCGTTAGGTGAAATAAATTCCGAACATTCAAAGTATACTTCTTGAGGAACCTGGAAAAGAAACTGGGTTAGTAATGGTCTTAGCAACCTAGGAGCGTAATCTCAACCCATAATGCGACTGCTTGAGGCCGGTCACATGGCTTTTATTTTAGAAGCTTGTAATGTGTTAGTTCCTTGATTCAAAAGATCTTCAAACCGGAAACAAGTTCATGAGGTTAAGTGAGATGCGACGTTTTTGGTGTTAACGTTTTCTAACCCTTCCTTCTGTTGTGAGAAAACAACATCTCTGCAAATTCTAGTTGTCCGAAAAAACACCCTACTGCTGTCACACCCCTCTATATTTAGCAGAAGGGCTTGTCTCTCGGACTTCGAGTTGTTGCTTTTCGTCTTACTGTTCTCCAGCCAACCTTCTGAAATAATAGAACCTAGAGAAATAACTGTTCCAGTCAATATAAATCTGTTCGGTCGTTTGAACAAACAACACTGAACATTACTTCAAGGTACCAGCTACAGTTTTAAAGAATAACTTTTACCGTGAATTTTGTCTGTTTTGGGATAATTTCCCGTGCTATTCAAAATACAATACAAAACAGTTTCTTTGTCAGAATAAGACTTTCGAGATTGTTGGATTTTATTAAAATCATATGTATATCTAAGCTGGGCTACCACTGAGAACGTGAAAGCACTTTGCGACCGTTTTGATCTACTATGAGACTACTAACCAGGGCTCGTCCGCGATTCTGTACGTGGAAATCGAACCCTGTCATATCAAAACGGAAGCCAAAGGGATGGTAACTGTGAACTGATTTGTTTGTTTTTTGTATATATGGTTTTATTGTATAATTCCTAAATAACCAGATTATCAGGTTTATGTATTCCTGTGATCAAATGCTTTCTATTAACCCATAAACTGTTATCATACGATTTACTATTCTTGTTTTATTGCTGGTTTACTATTAACTCTTCCATCCCTACACAAAGCCACCTTTTGGCTCGTTCATTCATAGTTTTTATTTTCTACTTATTGTATGATGAGGTCAAGTATGTTTGTATATAGACTAGGTATTTTTAAAATATACGATTCGTATAGTGGGGGTTTGTTACGGACTTCTGAACTCAACGGTTTGTCCAGAGAGAGAATTGTAAATCAATAAGAACTTAGCTGCTGACTAACGTTTATCATTGCAGTATCGTGTTCCGATCGGTGTTTTTTTACGTGATATTAGTCAGCAGTTAAGGATACAATAGGCCTAGGGCCATTTGCTTTTGTTTTCTCATTCGATTTAAATGCTGAGAAGTATCTAATAATGTAAATATTAAAATTTTCAGGCGATGTGCCACGGACTTTTAATAAATTATATTTTCATTTGAATCACGCAGTTGATATTAGTTTTCATACATACAAAATTAGGGAGTTTTCCTCTGCTCTATCGTGTTTACAAAATAGTTGAATTCTTTCTGTGGCTTCGTTTCTTCACATAGATTTTGATCATGCATCAAAGGTCTCTAAGTTCTCTGAGTTAGGTTTTAAACATTTGCTGATTTATACTTAACAGAAAAGTCTTTTTAAAAACCAATTGACGTTTTCATTGTCGTATTGTGGTGCGAGCTACTTATAAGTAGTATATGACGTGAGTGTCAACGTAATGTCTGGCAGCAGAAGATGGGGGAAGATCAAGAAAGGAAGAGTTAGAACACAATGGAATTTGTATGAAACGCATGAATAGTGACAATGGATTGATGTTTTGCAACAGGAACAGTCCAGTTCGATATGATGAACTGATATTTTGCAAATTAACGATTTACGATATGGTTTTCCGATTTTACTGAGTAACTCTGTAATTTTCGTTAAATACAATCCGGTTGCCCCACCTGTGTTCTCGTTCACTACAGTATGTTTTGAGCACGATGGGTAGTACGATGTTGAATTGATTTATAGTTAGCATTTTCTGAATTACGTAGCTAACTTATGGAGAGATGTTTGTTATATCGTAGCGACAAGTGTGTTATCTTTAAAATAAAGACATTGGTTGCCTTACATTATCATAATAAAAGCTTCAAAGTCCTTTGTATTGCATCACATTCGCCTTTTTCTGTGAGGTATAGAGCCAGTTAACGGATAATCAAAAAATATTATGGCTGTTACCTAGTTTATCTCTTTATAATTCCGTATAATACATGTTTTTTTGGGTCAAATTCTGTTTTAATCTATTGATAGGGTCTTAGTACTAACTGCACAACATATGGTCGTGGTTATCTATGGTTTGGTGATTCTTATGGTTTCGCACATCGTGTAGATCGGGGCTTACATGTAACTTCGTTCCAAGCCCATGACAGCTGTATCCACCTAATGCATCAAATGAAAGAACATGATTTTCTCATAACTATTGGTGTAAGTTCTTGTTAAAAACTTGTCTTATATATCACTTTTCCATTACTCACATAGAAGTAAATCCTTCTGCTTCCCAGGTTTAAAAGTCGATTAACTATCCTTGTGATTTGAAGATGTATTTTTTCTTCAAAACTGAGGTTGTTTTATCATGTTTTAGATATTCACCGCTAATGAAAAGGTGTTTATAAGTTTTTTTTTAAATAGGGTTAAACAAACCCTAACTGCTTTTACCACACCAAGTAGTTAGGTCCTATAAAGCATGAAAATGTAGTCCGCATAATTAGCTGAGCTTAATGTTCATTATATATATATATATATATATATATATATATATATAATCTGAGTCTGTGGAGTTTAAGTATCTTTCCAATTGAAAAATTGCACACTAGTTAAAACCTAACTGATGTTTTTTTATCTTCAAATATGGAAACATGAAACTTGGTCTGTGCCCTTCTGTTAGTTACACGCAATTAAAGACCATGAAACATTTTCAAAAGTTTACTGTAAGAGTGAAAAGTTATACGTTTTACTGGAAAGCTGGATATCAAATATTTTCTAGAGTTTTCTGTCCTCGTTCCGCATTGTTAAACAAGGCAAATCGATTTTAAAAATCTATAATTGGTCTATGATTGCGTTCAGAGATTCCAACCTGTTAAATCATCAGTGGTCAATAACGGTGAAATAAGCTGTCAGCATATTTATCACAAATCTAAAATATGTTTATACCTTTTCAATCTTAACATACTTTCACAAATTCTGCATTTTCTTTCTATTCAGGAAGATAAAGCAAAGGAGGTCAATCTAAAAGTATGGAACCTTTCAAAAGTAAGCAAATTTATCCATACACTACTTTGTTAATGGTTTGTGTATAATATAGTGTGTAAATAAAGTACCGATAATATCATAGTATCTCTTGCTGATTTCAAACAATCTGTATCACACAACACAGAATCAAGTCAAGAAACCAATTATAATATGACATGTCTTATCTGTCTTTTATTACTGTTATCCAATTTCAATAATGAAGTAGTGCTTTATTTATAAAGGTACTTGAATTTAAGCTATTGGCTTCTAGATTTAAATCTTTCCACGTACAGCTTAGTTTATCAGCCTCACGTAGAGGGTGTGCTTTAGAGCCGATTACTTAAACCATTGTTTAATTATTTCATTAATCCCCCTTATCACTCAGTTTTTCCTATCAGCTCACTTATAGAGTGATATAGTGTGGACTTGGTATTAATCTATAAACATCAAAATCATTCTTATCAGTTGGTGAATATTACCAAACGAGGGGTTTTTCAGATTTAGGAGAAAATTGTATCTTATTCTTAACGTTTTAATTTCTCTTTTATACCTTGGAAGTATTATTATTATAATTATTTTGATAACTTCATTGTTTTTTGTTTTGATTTAGTGGACAAATAAAATGATACCATTTTGTTGTCGAATTACATCGATCAATCCTTCTGGGCCTCTTCATACCCATGTAAGTTAAAGTAATTGTTTTCTTTTTAGCTAATAATAAACTGTGGTTTTGTGTTGATAGATATCTAAGAAGATATTCAGCTTATCCAAAATCATTTGATTTCATTTTACCGAGCTAGTAACTCTTTGTAGAAGCATAGTTTTTTTCTACAATTGTCATGTATGTAGTTTTCTGATTGAATCGGTACGTAAATACAATTTTTTCTAACACACTTATTCAGGATAAGCAAAATTTCTATTCACATTTCTATAATTAATGACATTCATAAGAAGGCTTCTCGCAAGTCAGATGCGTATGTGTGTTGTGAGGCATTAGAAAAGTATGATATACATCAATATCATTGACTGCCCCTACTGTGGAAAATCAATTTTTGGAGATTCAACTACATTTTATATCACTGTCGCTGTGCTATCTTGGATAGGACAACATTGTTCAAGAGACACTAAGTTTGATTTATTGTCCGTAGATTAAAACCACCATATGACATCTAATATATATCTTCAGATTATACTTTTATTTTACGTCCTCGTCGAGCTATGTTTTGCGAAGAAGGAATAGGTTGGAAGAAAGCTAAGGGCGGCCAAACCAAAACATGGCACAAATCCATGAAGTCACTGACAACTGGATTGAGTCATGTTGCTAGGTGTCGACTACCTGATCGGGGCCCGCGAGATGATAGTAATCGGTGATAAGAGATGCTGAATAACATGGCTCAAAACTGTTTGCAATGGCTCCGGTGCAGTCATTCTTTGTGTTCTATCAAATCCTGACTTTCAGAGTTCCACATCACCTTTATCTTCTTCTATTTAAGTTTATTTTACCCGATTACTTCTAATACTTTTACTAACTGTACTACTATGGGATTTAAAGTGACAGTTACATCTCTGTGCTAATGTGGTATGGTAACATGAACTGATGTACTTACGTACGATGTTCTACGTTGCTGCTGGATTGATTGATTGATTGATTACGTCCTATACATTCCAAACATTATCGATAACAATACGAGACAAACAATTCCTGATATTCGATCAGACTTAGAAATCCTTTTACGCCCTGAGCACTGAATAGTGTTAAGCGTGTAAAAACACTGTGTTAGCTACATTGGTGTCCTTTGTATATGGTCCTCAATAAGTGCTTGATAGAAAATCATTGTATAAGGTTTTGGGAATCTTAAATCCTCGAATGTTACGTGTTATAGAAAAATCGGTCTTAAAATTCATATATTGGAGTAAAGAAATTTTCGTTAATTGATTATTAATGTATTTAAATTATATTGTTCTATTCAATGTAAAGTTAATTAATTGATATCCAATGTATTTTCATTCTATTGTTTTATTCACTGTAATTTTGTGTTCAATTAACGATCGCTTAGTTGATACGTTTTGTAATTAATAAATATTGAATTCGATCTATATATATGATTGAATTAATTCTTCAGAGTTATGGAGATTAGCGCTTTTTTTCATATTGAAATTATCAATCAATTATTGTTAGACCAGCATTAGAAACCTGGAGGATCTGGACGGCCGTTTCGTCCTGGTGTGGGACTCATCAGCAGTGCGCATCTGCAGGATTTAAACCCAGGACTTTTGGTCTTGCGCGCGAACGTCTAACCTCTGGACCACTGGACCGGCATCCAACGGTGTTAATGTTTAACTCTGATCAATCTGCAGATTTTGCACGACCTCACCCATTTGTCTTTGGTAGTTACTGCCTACACCCGACAGGGTTGAACTCCGTTGGTCACTGCTGCATGGTGCATGAGTTGTGGATGATCACTGTTGATGAATTAATTCTCTCAATAAATATTCTACACAAATTTTATCGTATGGAGTAGTTAGGGGGTGGCTAGGATAGAAGAGAGCTGTTATATCCAATATCAAATTTTTCATTGAACTGTATGCTTTGGTGCCATAAAGTTTAAATTCCTATTACTTTTCTATCTTTATGTTTTAACATCAAACTTCTTATATTGTTTCATTATTTCTACAATCAAAAGGTTACGTGTTTAGCTGTAGACGAAGGTCTTCAATATATGGTTTTGGGTTATGTAAATGGTATGGTCCAGTTATTCAAAGGAGATATCACTCGCGAAAGGTTAGTTATTTTCTGTTAATTTCTTGTTCAAGTGAATCTGTTTGTTTAGAAAGAAATATATCAAATTAAGTAAATTAACACTGAGACTCTTTTCATCTATCTTTAGTCTATCAGAGACAGTGTATTGTAAACTTTCCAGTATAAACATACTTGGGTTGAAAGTTCTAGTGTTTTAGATCAAAAACAATAAGAGTAGTCAAAACCTATCAATATATCAAATTATTTTCAACAATATTCGCAGTATTAAAGCAATATAACTTATCAGTAATTGATTAAATCTTTTGACATTCTTCATATTCTATTCATTGACATTTTGTTTTTTGTTTTAGGCAGTGTAAACGTTCTATTCTGTATGAATTTCTATGCCCTGTTACAGGGTTAGGTTTATACGTCCCAAGTCATCAGCAGCAAAATAAACAAAATTCTGTAAATAATAATCCACCTTCCAATATTAACCAATGTTTCGACCCTGTTGTTTTCGCAGCTTCAGAACAAAGCTTAATGAGTTTTGTACTTGGTCAAAGAGAGAGAATTAAATGTAAGGTAGGCTCATTACTACTGATTTTGCATTAGTTGGTTGTAAATTTTTTCTTTCTCACTTAAATGGTTTGTTCTGTTAGTTTTTGATAAAACACAGGTTCTGGTACGGATCTGTATTGATGCAGTCTGTTAAACCTCATCCTAACACAGAAAGAAAAATTGTAAGATGAAAAAGGAAGTAGACGAAATTAGCTACTGGAAATCATGAATTTTTTAAATTTCGATGGTGGTTAGCAGTGTGATCCACTACTCACGTTCCGTTTTATTTTGGACTCCTCAGTTACACGTAGCGATTGATTCCCAATCGGGACAAAACTCATCCAACTTTCTGCTAGTAACCACTAACAGACCTCAATAAAGTATCTATGGATATCTGGAGATACCGATGCACATGTGCAAACTGATCAATCACAGTCCTTAATATCACTTACAATATCGTTAAGTTAATTGAAAAGGAATTAACAAAACTGAGAAATAATTGAAAGTCTGAATTAAAACAAAACTCAACGAACAAAATGCAATTGCATCATTCTTATAGATCTCTAATCGTGTCACCCAACTTCTTCTCTCTGAATAATATTATCATCTTAAATGCTAATTCTATAGTTCTTTTTACAACTAAAATCATTGTTGCATACGCAAGACCCGTTAATCTAAATGAATGATATTTTCTGGATCATAGATATGAATTCAAATCATGCTTTGTTACAACTTATGTTGTAATACATAAATAATATGTTATTTTAAATGTGATATTTTTTACGGGGTTGTGAAGATTGTTAAGTTACACATATGAAATCATGAATCGATCAATGTTAGACCACCATTAGAAACCTAGAAACCCAGGACGAAATGGCCGTCCAGTGCGCTTACAGGTTTCTAATGGTGGTGTAACATTGGTCGATTCATGATTTCAAATGATATTTTGTCACCAGTATGATGTTGTTGAACTTGTTTACGTGTTACGTTGATATTTTCTGTCGAAATTCTGTCTGAAATTCGACTACATACTTTGGTCAGTACTATGTTATGTATATTTTCATTTAAATATTTGTAGACTGTTCTAGACCGATTTGGTGCACGACCTCATTGTACAACTATGCTACTTACTGATGATATTACCGGAGACAGTCCTCAGTTTGCTGTGGCATGTTCAGATGTAAGTTTGTAGATTGCTATTTGAAGAAAACCCACAAAATCCGTTATTTTATAGCATAAAATAAGCTGATTATGTTAGTTAAGCCTAATCGTATTAGGGTGATGGGCCATTTATGTTATGGTCATGCTTGCAAGACCTAATAACTACATATATATATCTGTTAAGTTCTTCACAGTGTTTGTATTTCTTTTTAAACATTTACTTAATACACGTTGGTCTTTCCACATACAGTTAAATAAAAACTGAATAATGATAGGTAGAAAAAGAGTTGAATAGGTGATTTTAGCCAAGATTATGTAGGTTAAAGGGATATCAACGAAATTCTGAACTCATATATATACACATATACAAATTAATGTTGCACAGTACACTTTTTTTTCAAAGGCTATATACTTCTACAATTGGGATGGCAGAGGACCTTGTTTAGCTACAGATGGTGAAAAAATTGCTTTAGAAACGTACAAAAATTATTTGATTATACTGAAAAATACCGGGTATGTTGTTGTTTAAATGTTTCGTTGGTTTTATTTATTATTATTATTAATATTGCCTATCCAACACTATTTATTTATTCACAATGTTAAATAACAGCTGGTAGAGTAAAGTTTCACAAGGTGTATATGTCAATGCTTTCAATGTTTTCTAGTGTAGTAAGTTTTAAATTACCGAAAAATTGAGTTTCGTATTTTCAATAACAGTCTGTTTACTGTCAGAAATTAATGTTAAATTACCATCTGAGATTTAAACAGCCTATCTGAGCTGTATTTACAGACTTTATTTTATGCATTCAGTCAGTCCACGTTGCAGCTGACTGACTGACTGGATGTCTTATACGCAACGTAAATCCTGACATGCACATATACATCGGTCCGAGTTGTCACACGAATTGAGAACAGCGAAAAACCAAATTAGTGGAGGAAGTAACAGTATCAGTGGTAGTAGAAAACTCTAGACATAAACATTATGATCTGAGAAAAAAACTTGAATTCGTGTAGAATCTATTGAATTATTATTATTATTATTATTGATTTTGTTCTTTAATCACTGAATAACTAGATTGCCATGTGTATGTATTCCATTCATCATAAGTTACAGTTGTACGATTTATTTTTCCTAATTTATTGGCAGTCTATTATTTAGTCTTGCCTAACCAGGTCTGTTTGAAGTATAAGCTGGTAGAGGCCGGTTTGTATTTTGACATCGAGACTAGGGATAAAGACATAGCTACCGGCTCAAAGCCACTTAGTTCTGGTTTGGGCGTGTAAATGGTCAAGTTAGAAACGAAGCTATATAGTGAATAACAAACCAAAGTTGGAATGGGATTCCTATCAGTAACTGGGCATGTGATTTTGGTCAGTGGGTTTCAAGACATAACAATTGTCATTTTTAAATTCAAGTTTTAAAGAGAGACAAAGAATGAATATATCTGCGCCATGGTAAGCCATTTTGAGCTGTCAGTCAGCGTCTCCAACCACTGGTTGCAACAATCCCATTGAAGTTATTTTTATCGGAATAACTTCTTAAGATACAGCTTTGTTTCGATCATCGACTTGTCTCTATCTAGTACTGCGACTCCAACACTTAGTTGTATGATTTCTAGTTTCAGTTGAATTAGGAATTTCTCCGATATCTACAATGTTCTTTGTCAATAAATTTATGGTGTTAACTCAGTTAATAGGACCGAAATCTGCATTGTTATTCACATTTGATAATCAGTTAGGTTTTTAGTTTAAGATCAACCTCGTTTATATTTGGTGCTATAAATTAATCTTCTAAATACTGTATATTGTAAATCACCGTAGGTATTTTTTAGCAATAGATTTATGCGTATATTTTTAACTTTAGCATTATCTAGTGTCAAAATTTATCAACTACATCATTCTTACGAAAGATGTATCATTTAAACCGGTGGTCATATTGGATTTAATTACATTCACTACTAAACATAACCCCCTGAGTTATGAATCTTCTACCCAATTTATACATTTGTTCGTGAATCAAACACCTAAGCTCTAGCAGTCGTGACTTTTTTTAACGAGAACGATTTAGACTTGTTCGGTTTGATGCTATCATTATTGCATATCAGACTTTAAATTTTTATGGAATACCTTGACTAACCCCAGGTAGATGATAATGTTAGTGAAAAGCCAGATATCGAATGCAAAACGGAGAGATTGTATTTCATGCAAGTGTTCAGTAAGCATGAGCTTATTAACATTCATTTAGACTGATCGGATAAATCAACAGATCTATTTAGCACATTTAGCATTGTGGTATATACTACTTACAACGTCTCTTATAAGTAGTATACAACGGTGACGCACAGAAGTTACTGCTGAGAATTGTCGGATCCGGATGTCTAGTGTTATTGAAATGTTTCAAAAACTAACAGACATATGAAGGAATACAGCCGATAATCTGCTTTTTTCGCAATCAAAAGTGTGAAGACAAGGTGTGCACACTTTGACAGTAAACTGTCTTCTCCCATCGGGTCACATCAGAAGACACTTGTGATATAAATGACATCTACTTCAGTTTAAACAATCTGTGTAGTTTCACTAGCCCTCACACCAATACTTTACCCCGAACTACATGCTAAATGAATTCATATATTGTTATTATTATTATTATAACACAAAGTTTTATACTATACGCGAACTTAATCAAAACAGCTCTTTCACACACACAAACATGAATAACGTTTATGTGCCTATCTTTTTTTGCTTTCTTTTGTCTGTAGGAAATCACTAGTCAATTCCTATAATCCATTTCTAAATTTATCACATAATAATAAATCATTGTCATCTTCACTATCCTCATCGCCATCGTCAACAGCAGCTGCAACAACAGTGACTACAGGAACAACACTATCACCTCCACTCCCATCATCTCAATCATTTAATTATATCACCTCGGGTACAATTGTCATTCAAGATTATAATAATAAATTTGTTGCTGGTGAATTTCATTTCAATTATTTTCAAGCATTATTCATTGAATGGAATGGTATTTATTTAGTCTGTGGAGATGAATGTTTCAATCAATCAACGAAGGAGATATTCAATAATAAAGATGAAAATATTGTTGCAACAACTTCGAAAGTGTGTGAAATACTGTTTTTTTTGTTTCTTACTCAATTTCATTTTGATTTTCATTTCATTGTCAATATTGATCACAAACTTTGGTTTTCATGTGTACTTAGCTAGCTGAGTTAGGATGCAGAGACCCTAAATGACATGGCTCAAAACCGTTTGCGATGGCGTAGGTGCATTCATTCTTTGTGTTCTCTCAAATCCTAAACTTTTTAATTCTTCATCACTTCATCTTTATCTTTCTAAGTATATTTCACTAGATTCTACTTCTTGAATAATATCTTCTAATCTTAACCTCTCCGACTACTGCTAATACCTGTACTACATCAACTACTATGTTATTTGAATTGACAGTTACATCTCTGTGCTCACGTGGTATGGCAACATGATCGATGTACTTATGTACGAAGTTCTACGTTGCGATTGATTGATTGATTGATAGGATGCATTAAAATCAATACATATGATGTGAATTTTATTAGGATTGGAAATTTGTTAAGATTTTTTTGTTTGAAGACAATAAACAAGATGTTCGTTCGTCAATTAAAGCGTGGGGGGGAGTACACTCTTCGGTAGTTTATTCTACCTTACTCTCTTTCTGACTGTGGAACATGTTTTGTAAAAGTACGAAACATGTAGGCTTTTTGAATTTTGACACGTGTCTTCAACGCATTCCTCGCTTCCTGTGGAAGACAGGGTAAACTGTGTAGTAGTTAAACGTGGGGTACTATAAGAAAATGGCATCTAGGTTAGTGCAATGATGAATCTTCATCAACTGAGATGTTTAAGACACATTACCTATGTCTAACTACCTCCTACTCTCACGAGCAATATTTGCTGGAGTAGGAGTACGTTGAAAGAAAGCTGGGAGCTATCAAACTAAAACTTGTCATTGGTCTAAAAAATCATTATCTGTTAGTTTGAGCCTTTTTGACAAATGCAGACTTCTTAGTTAGAGTATGCTAAATAACCACCATCAGAATTGTTCTTTAATATCCTCATTGTTATCGTTTGTGGGCGTATAGTACTGAATGATATTCATTGTAATGACCTCTTTCTTTGCTTTGAAGTATGGTTTGACGATCCTGGGTCCATGAGACTCCCATTCTATCAATGCTTTTTCTGCTTGTTTGGACAGCATCAGTTCAACTACTTGTGTGTGCGAGGCATTTTCTTTTTCATGACCGGAATATAGCAGCATCTCTTCTGAAGCTAGTCTTTTTGTCCAAGTTGCGTCCACTGTGTTTCATTGATTCCAAGTACCACCAGGTTGTATCTTTTCATTCCTGCAGCAACTTTGATAACTCTTCCGATCCCCCACCTCGTAGTAACATTCCATGTACCTAAATTATTGCTTTGGTTTTCATAAGAGGCATCGGCCTCGTGACTTCTGAAGAAACCTGGCCTTCAGCATAAGACGTAACAACTCTTTTAAATGAAGATCTGACTCCGAGAGCAGAGTTTCAACGGTTTGAGTTATTTTGTCTACTTAGCGTTTTCTTCGCAAGTCAGTTTTCTACGAGTTAGGGTCGCTAAGCTGATGCCCAACCTTCCTTTTTCCGGACTTGGGATCGGCAGTAACCCCAAACGGTCTTACGATGAATTTCGCACTGAAAAAAAATATTAGAACCATGTGAATAATTATCAAAACACAATAGAATAACATACTGAAGCGAATAAGAGTCTTATTTTATCACAATAGATAAAATGTTAAAGTGCACGATTATCAAATTGAATTACTTTCTTCTTTCCACTTTAGTTTACTGAATTTCATATTGACTTTATTTCAGATGATTTGTTTAACTGAAAAAGATACTCAAATTAAATTGGATATGTTATTTTCAAAAAAAAATTTTAATTTAGCTATAGAGTAAGTCAAACACGTGATTGTGTCGAATTATTATTATTATTATTATTATTATTATTATTATTATTGTAACTATTTTCAATATTTCCAACATATTACTCATGTCAGTTTGAAACAGCAACCAGCATTCAACATTAGACATAATCAATGGAAAAAGTGATCAATTCAACATTACCGAACAATGATCAACTCATTTATCGATTAAATCAGAGTTAACATCCTGTTTATCAGTATGTAATGAAGAAAGTTTGGCGTAAAACTAATAATAACTCATAAGTAACACACTTCAATCATATATATGTTACAACATAAGTACGCATACGCGTAATTAATATATGTGTATTGTTTTACTTAATAGAGGTCTACGTGTGTACAAAAATGACTAGTATTAATAAAGCACTGGTGTTAAACTTGATGTTTGCATAAAGACAAGAAATTATGAATTTAGGATGTTTGCAACTGATGAAAAGGCATAAAGAAAAATTCTTCCATATATTCTGTTGATTTTCTATAGTTAAAGTCCATTGTTCAACTTCAAGAAAAAATAATTGTGAATGAAACAGCCTACCAAGTATCAAAACTAGATTGACATTGAAAATATTGACTCAATAGCTTTGTTCTCTGTAACAAATATTTTGAGATATTCAATATATGAAACACTGATTTACCACATACTGGCTGACGAAATTGATGTGTTTGAAATATTTAAGAATTAATATCGATTCATAAGTTATTCCCCTGAATCCTAGATTATGATATCTCTCAGTTGCATAACTATGACTAACTGAAGCCAAATCAGATTTTGCTAACCCAACTAATAAGTCATAGCAGTTTAATTAAGATTTGAATGCTAAACTCCAGGAAAAATGCTTTCAGTCAAACCGAAAACTTTACAGATATTCATTAATTAAGATTGCCATATCGTTCAACAGAACGTAGAAAATTTTAAAGTGCAAGGAAGTTATAGTATAAACAGTAATCATCCTCACTATTAGGTATCGGCTTAGAGTAAGTGATAGTTCGGGTCTTGAACTGCACTCATTTGGTATCTTGTGGACACAAGAAGGAGACATCCATCTCTGAAACTATCATTAGTGTGTTTTCAGACATAAATCTGTGCTCCACTCTGCATTTGATTGATAATTACTTGTTGGTAATTATACAGAAATCTCACACAAACAAACGTGATAATCTGCGGATTTACTCAAATGCATATTTCTGATGAATTGATTCCCCAATACATTAATTGTCTTGTCAGATTGTTCGTCTGCCTGTTTGATAATCTGCTCCTGAACACTATCCGTCATCATCATAAACCACATTAATTTAATTTGCTTATCATTTAATCTTCCAAACCATATGTCGTTCTTCAAATAGTTCTTATCGGACGAATGGTTATGCAAAATTTTTGACTATACTACAGTAAAGAAATTTAGATTATAGCACATTCGAAACATTAAGCGATAACTGATAAACTTTAATCTATAAGGTGGTCAATATAATAACATTTATTTACCCTTTTGATATTTGGCCATTGTCCACCGGCTTCTTTTGTGGCCGGAAAAACATAAGCACACGAACTATTGAAAGCATACTTCGGGCTTCTCTTTATCAACCTTGCTTTCGAGTTCCATGTACTGCTTCCATGTAATCTAGGAATGTAAGTTAATATATAAATATAAAACGTTTTGGAAAAACTTTATGGCATCTGCAACTTTAGCCAACATTGTCTATAGTTGGATCTCGTTATACCTTCAAATATATCACTGATATCGGCTAATACAGAGTTTTTTGAATTTGTTCCATTTGTCTAAAGAATAGGGTTGTCCATGAAACTGTACAAAACATATCAGATAGTTTTTCCCCATACTCTTTGACACCATCCTGTGCAACACATCTGACAAATCTCGGGTGCCAGCACACTGATTTAGCTAAACAAAACATTCCAGTTTCTAGTTTAGCAATTTAGCATATCATTACAAAAAATAGGTAACTATGACAGGAAGTATACTTTGACCCAATAAAACACGTGAGTTGGCAACAAAAATTTCACCGATCATTTAATACGCCCCAGAAATTACGATAACCTGGCGCATTAAAACCTTTAAATCATTTCCCACTTTACTATATGAGGTCAACATTTGAATCTATAATTTTGTTTCAATATCAGTAACTTATCGTTTAGCGATGCATGTCACTTCTGAAGTACCAAGTGTTGAGCTTTTCAATTTTTTTCAACTGTTTGATTATTATTCTTATTCCACTGTCCATGAAGTTAACTAAAAATCAAAGCATATCAGCATAATTATGTAAATTAATTTTAGTAAATATAATTTATTTCAGTAAAAGCTAGTAATCTGGATTCTTCAACACCTCTAGTTTTGTCTTTCTAAACTTATCTCACTGAATCATACTTCTTGAATAATATCTTCTAATCCTAACCTCTCCGATTACTTCTAATACCTTTACTATCTCTTCTACTATTGGATTTGAATTGACAATTACATCTCTGTGCTAATTTGGTATGGCAACATGAACTGATGTACTTACGTACGAAGTTCTACGTTGCATCTGACTGACTGACTGAAAAGCTAGTAAATTGAAGTAATTTTTTTTACTTTCAATTTAGATTAGCTAGATCTCAACATTTTGATGAAAATGAATTGGCTCATATCTATTGGCGATACGCTGATCATCTTTATAAGTAAGTTTTGTGTAGTTTGTTGATGAAATCATTTTTCATCACGTGATTTATCACCCGATACAAACTTTTGTTTTCAATCTCACATTTGGTTCATTTGTCCTCAAAACGGATTATTTTAAATTTAAAATATCGTTACTAGATCCCATAAATTCCTATCACAGGATTAGATATTTTCAGCTTTCATCAGTATATAGTCTTGTTGTATTTGTGATCTCATTTACTAACAGTCATTTGGTTGCGTTAAGTTTACGCAAGCGTGTTATTTCATGAGTTTTAACTTTGGTTTTGTTGTAACGCTGGCTTAAATAATTCCCAGCTTAATCCTATTGCTTAGTATTCTCTGACCACAATACACTGGACAAGTTCCAAAGAATCAAAAACACGGTGGAACAGGAAAAGATTATAGTCCAAATAGCAAGGTTAAATAGAAATACGAAGCCGAAGGCGAAAAAGAAACAACGTTAGATTCTTTATAGTATTTACATGAGAAGCTTCTGGATAGTAATTCACGTGATCGACTGGATTAGATTTAGCCAATCGGAGTGTAGCTAACAACACGAGAATTTTCTGCCTAGTTCTCCGAGAATCGATCAGTCGCTGATTGAATAGGAAATTAGCCAATCAGCGCGCAGCAACGTAGTCATGCTTTAATTCCATCTATGTCCCACTAACAGGTTTCTATATATTTCATCGACTTAGTTATCCTTATTTTAATGAAAAGCTGATCTGTCGGAGTAATAATGCGACCTTTGTAATCCGAAGATCATTCCCATGACTCAAAATCATTGGCAGTGGCGCAGATGCATCCACTCTTCGTGTTCCCTCAAATTCTAATCTTCTGAATTTCTCATGATCGTTTTTTCTTTCTTTGAGTTTTTCCACTGGATTATAATTCTTGAATAATCTCTTCGAACCATAATCTTTCCTATTACAGCTAGTACCTCTAATACTTCTAATACAGTGGGATTTCAATTCACAATTAGATCCTCTGTGTGCTAATGTGGTATGGCAACTTGAACTGCTGTACGTACATATGAAGTTCTACGTTGCAGATGACTGATTGACTAACCTTCCCTTATGTTTTATAATATGACTATCAAATATTAATCAACTCATTTTCCTGTGTATGTGTGTGTGTGTACTAAAAGCACTGTTTATTTTTGTTACTTTTCAGTCAAAAGGATTATGATGCAGCTATTCGTCAATATATTAAAACAATCGGTAAACTTGAAGCATCCTTTGTGATACAAAGAGTAAGTATGTTTAATATTTTCATGCTTCCAGTAGTGGTACGAGTTAAAATTTGGCTTAAAATACAATTTAAACTAAGTACTTCACTACTAAATGACTATTAGATCAATGGATTGAATTGGAAATATCTGTTCGCATTGAATTTTTTAATAGTTACCGCTTCATTATGGTTCATTTAATTACAATAATCATTTACTTCAGACCATGCTGGTTCGAATTCCTCTAGCTCTCCTATTATTAGAAAGGACTGAGAGAAAAGTGATGGAATCACAATTAGTTACTACTGTACATATAAGTCTATTTATTGTTCAAAAGATAATCCATAATAACAACCATTTCAATAAACTCTTTTTCCCCTTTTAGTCAATATTCATTCTTAGAAATTCTATTTTAGTCTTTGCGAAAAGACTTATTTGAGAGTTCACACATTCAAACTATACATTTCATTATACTTAATAGCTCCCATAGATAACAGTAAAATTTGGTGATGTTATGAGCTACACGATCAAATGAATAAATCAGACTAGATTGTCTGTACGAAACATCACTACACTTCTCTGTTTGCTTTTTGTTGAAGTGTACCAAACCTAAAATGAAACGTACAGACTGTATTTACAACTTCCTATGCTTATTCTCTCCAATTCACTTAAGTATTTTATTTCGTATCAAAAGGTGATGACTCAGTTGCTTATTCATTATGGAGGTTGAACGGCGTATAAATTTGCTTTAGCATACGTTTCCTTACCGCATTAACATGACAAGATGAAATTAACAAGACGACGATTAGTAAAGGATTCGAAATTATGTAGTAGCGATGCTAATAAGAAAGAACAAGCATGGGGAAAATATTTATAAAATTCATAATGGATAGGTATATGTGAAGGGATAATTGTGTTCATTATCTAAAATGAAATGAAGACTAGATGCATGTAATCCTTTGTGACATATTTTGAGTCATTTCACACAAAACCTACAACCGTTGATCGCGATTGTCTCTATTACTTCCATGGGGTTATGTCAGTTTTCCGTTTGATCGTTCATAATTGAAACGATAACTACCCGACCGTAGCTGCTAACATGATGTGGTGGTCTGGTTTGCCTATCATGATGACCCAGCCGAGCTATATTGGCTGGAATATATGTTTCTGAAGGTTATATCATGCCAGGCAGGTCTGAGGGCGAAGTCGTACTGCTGACTGTAGAGGGGTATGACAGCAGTGATGTGTTTCCCTTGGACAACTAGCAGCATCTGCAGCGATGCTGCCTTCTCACAAGGAAGGAAGGGATTAGAAAAATTCTACCCTAAAAATGTAACACCTTGCTTTACCTCACGGATTCCCGTCTCCGACGGTAAGGGCTTTTAAATAAGAGTGGAGCTTATACTCAAAAAGCCTTTCATAAAAAAGCTGTACGTGACCGGCCTCAAGCAGTCGTCCCTTGGGTTCTGCGGTCACTCTCCCATATCTCTACTACCAATACTAATCTACCTTTCTTTTCAGGTTCCTCATGAAACACCCTAACATCTCTCTTATCTCAATGACTAATTCTTTTCACATTCTTCGGTCATCCCGAACTACTAATTCGAACGATGCGAGTTCACGAAACGTTATTCCTGGTCTCCTGAAACCCCGTTCTCGACTACATCTTGGAGCTTTTAGTGTACGGACATTGTGTCAAATAGGGCAACAGGCCTCATTAGCTGGGACTTAAAAATCTCGCGCCAAAGATGTATCCTGCTTTCCCTAAACGCGCATACAGGATCCTAGTAAAATCATCAATTTGATTTCACCTAATGCAGATAGAAAAACAACACGGTTTACACTTCGTGTTTCTGGTAGCCCTGATGCTGCTTCTAGGGGCCTCGCTGGTCTAGGTATAGCATTGAGTCATAGGGCAGAACTATCTCTCCTAGATTGAATCCCAGTAGATAGTCGCTTGTGTGCTGTCCGACTAAGCGGGACAGTAAGGACTCGGAAAGATAGGGACACCCGTCGTTGCCTCTTCGTCGTATCTGCTTACGCTCCCACTGACTGCAGTGCAGACGAGGTTAAAGATGAGTTTGACAGAAAGCTTTCGGACCTCCTCTAAAACGTTAGGCGCTCTGATGTAGTAATAATGGCTGGTGACTTTAATGCTCAAGTAGGTCGACTAAGTGAAAATGAAAGACTACTGGGTGGATGTTATGGTATCGCGGCTCAGAGAACAGACAATGGTGACTGTCTGTCGCAACTGTGCTCATATAACCACCTATTTCTAGCAAATACTAACTTTAAGCATAAGGAAACGATAACTAAGTGGGTAGTCTTTTAATAAATAATCACCAGGCTACTAATTCTATATCTAATTTACTTTTTTCAGTCTGGTAATTCTATTTGGTTGTTTGTCAGGAAGCATACGACATTTGCTACAGTCAATAAGCCTCCTTATTGTTACTTCATGATACTGATTATTTTAAGAATTATCTAACCAATATATAATGTTACGATTTCTAGAAACCTCTGCTGAATCATTTTTCATTTTTGGTATTTCTTTTCCCACTAATCTTTTACTATTCTTTGAATTTTATTTTCGAACAGTTTCTTGAGGGTAGTCATATCATACAGTTAACTACCTATTTAGAAGCATTAAAAGATCGGAACTTGTCAACAAGTGATCATTTAATTTTACTTCTTAACTGTTATTGTCGTTTACAAGATGTTGATAAAATAGAACAATTTGTTAAAGTAAGCTGAAATGCTTTTCAACTCAATTTTTTTTCTATTGTTCTATGAAATTTAATATTATAGAAATTACAATTTGGTAATCTCAAAACTAAAACCTCTTAACTTATAGTATATGGGAGTTCAATGGAATAGTTGGTAGATTCTAATAAAAACAAGTTTTGTTTTCTTGAATTCGTATTGAATTGGCTTGATCAAGCTATTCGTTTGCGGAAATGAATCTAGTCACTGGTCTATACATTGAACAACTTTTTCACTAACAGTTTATTTTTCAATGAGAATGAATTTTAACACTTTAACTGTTTGAGAATGCAAAATTCATATCTTTAAAACATACATATCATTAGTAGGAAGATGCTTTGTTCAATCCAATTCATTCTCAGTTTCATTGAAGTAATCATTAATGACAATAACATGAACACTGAATGGGTTATTTTGTGAGACACTTATTTTTCGCATGTGCGTCTACATATTCAATGTGAACACCATTGAAGAAATACTTTTTATTTGTTGTTTGCTGTTATCGATAAAAACCACTTCATAGTGTATGAAGATGTGAAGTTTTGCTGTCAAGATAAGATCTGTAAACAATGTGAGGAAGTCGAACTCCATAAGTGTTTGCATGAATGTGTCAGTATTGATAACAAATCGTTTGGACATTTTGCAAATGTTACTTAGATTGTTTACAAGCTGAACTTTGTATACTTTGAAACATTTAGTCCTTGAATTCAGTAACAGCCAATCTTCGTTTTCTGTCATGCAAGAAGTTAACATTTAACTTTTCCACTTCAAACTAATCAACATGGACCTTTGCTAGTTGGGATGATATTTATTTAATTTGACCAACTATTGTTTTTTTTTTTTTGATTGATCTAATTTCGCTCTATTAACATTGAAACGATTTAATTGTATTCACCATTTTCTTCTTAAAAATTACTATCTACATATTTATATATATAGAAACCTATAAATACTATGTTAGACGTAACATCAGCTTTGCATGTTTTAAAACAATCGAAATATATTAGCGCTGCTGTTAAATTGGCTGAGAACACTAACCGTTACATAGATTCTATTGGTTTGTTAATAGAAGATTTAAATGATGGTAAATCAGCTATTCAAATGATCAATAAATTGAATTTTGATGATGTAAGTTATGCGATAAATGTGTTTATCTATGTTTTCAATCTGTTGAAATCAAATTTTCTGTTTTTTTTTAATTTGTTTCATGAATGATTTTCACTACGGGTTGTTATGAGTCGGCGTTCCATTGAAATGCTGAGGCTACTTAAACATCAGTTTTTGGGGTATGAGGTTTCTATGGTGAACATACAGACCCTCTGGGAATTGAACTTGAGTACCCTAATGATCTTTTCATTAGCATGTACTCTTAAGACCATAAATTTGTAGTTTGTAATGTGTGTACTTTTGTGTCGAGCCCACAGAGTTAATTATTGGTAAAATAGAAAAACCATATCGTCAATCGTTATTTTGCAAAATATCAATCCATCATATCGAACTGGACTGTTCCTGTTGCAAACATCAATCCATTGTCTGACATTTCACTGTTCATGCGTTTCATACAAATTCCATTGTGTTCCCACCCTTACTTTCTTGATCTTCCCCCATCTTCTGCTGCCAGACATTACGTTTTTACTCGCGTCATATACTACTTATAAGCGCGCACCACAATTCAACTGATTCCGTATTCGGCTTCTTACTACCTCCGTTGCACAAAGTGGGTTAGCCTAAGTATGATATACGGAAACTGAAAGGGAAATCCATTCTATGGCGTACTCGAACTATTTCGAACTACACAGACACTTAAAGTACTATTGTTCATATTTCCAGTTCCAGTAAGTTATCGTCTACTTCTATCGGCATCTACTACTTCACGCCCGACATGGATGAATTCGATCATCATCCTCTATTAACAAGAATTCGGAGGGCTCATCTTGAATCAGGTGACTAGTGAACGCACAATTATGTTATTTTTCAGAGGCTTTCATTGGAACTTACTAATGGCTTTGAACGATTGTCACACTAAATCCTTATTTGAATGGAGTCGGAAAGGTGAACCTAGTTCAGTGAACCTTGATTAATTTGTGAGTATTCATTAAGACGCTAGTGTTACAGAAAGTCTAATTTTAATACTTCCCAACTTATTCAAGTCTAAATTGTCATTAAAGTATCAGTTTGTCTATTATGAATGATTGCACAGGTTAATTATACCTTGCTGTGTTATAGAAAAATTAGATAATCACTAAATGAGATGTTGATGTTATATTAATCGACCAGAAATTTCTTTTAAGCAATTGAGTAATTTTCTTCTAATTGAAGCTGTATATCTACTTCAACATGAGTTGTTTGCTGATTTTGAGCGTAGATATTAGTTATTGGCTCATACGAAACCTCTGATTTTTATTTTTAAAATAAGTGACAGTATTTCACTTATTTATTTTTTCAGTTTGATTAGTCATCAGTTGCTATCTTTAAACGTTTTATGGTGAGGATTCTGCTGTCAATTACAATGTCAGTTAGCTGGTAGTGTGTGTGTGTGTGTGATTATAGTCCAGTAAAGTAATTTGACAATAACTTTTAAAATAACTCCATTCGTAAGTGTTATCAATAGCCTGAATAATTAGTGTTTAGTTTATTCAAGACATTAAAAAAAGTATAAACCATCTCCTTATTGTACTGAACTTTTTGTAAAATCATCATTCTCTATTTACACTGAACATTATTGCCAGTATTCGCAATTCATTTCTTCACTATTCATTTCATTCCAGGCATTAAAATCCATCAGTGAATATGGACATCAGTTAATCACTCGTTGTCCTGAAGAAACAGTTAAGATTTTGGATAAATTATGTGCTCACCCAGGTAGGATTGATGCTTTTTTGTGCATTTGAATATCACCATTTCTCATGTTATTGTGCGTTCTTAGTAATTTTTTTCGCTCCCAGTTTAAGAACTCTGTACTCACAACTTTTGTCATCTGTCAGAATATATATTTAAATAGTTTCCTCGAAAGTTTGTAGCTGATACAAGCTTTCCGCGTTTTTTCGAACCTAATTGTTGGGGACGTTAGATCTTTAGAACTTACTTAAAAAAGGGTCCTAATTTCGGGTTTTTTTATGTTTTTGCGCATAATTCACTTAGTTGACCTTCAGCTTATATTTCCCACTCGGAAAATCCTTGACTGTCATTATGGATTATTTTAGTTTCGCTATTTTGTGGTTCTCCTAAGGACGTCTGTATCTTTGTATAAATAAGCTTGATTTATGTGCTCAGACTCCTCGTATTTTCTTGGTGCTTGTAGAATACATTCTCTACGTCTTATCAAGACTTCTTGCTTTTGTTAGCGAGGCCTGGGACGATGGATTGGAATAACCTGTCGTGTCACTGAGTCACTGCTTCCATTCCGTTTACTGAGTTAAGGTGAACTCATAATAGTTTCAAGCATATCACTAATTGACAATCTAAATAATAAAAACTGAGAA